GGTCAGCTTTTAAGATCACATGGCCACAGCGTTCATTTTTACGCTGACGATACTCAAATATACATCCATACCAAACCCGACACTGATGTGGCTGTCTCTATTCTATCTAATTGCATCTCTGACATAAAAAATTGGATGACTCAACTTCCTTCATCTGAAATGTGACAAGACTGAAGTCATGCTTATTGGTACCCCCCATCAACTTCGTAAAGCCAGTCCTGTAACCCTGTCTGTAGATGGCTCTGTACTTGAGCTTCAATCAAAATGGAAAAACCTTGGGGTTATATTCGATTCTGGCTTAACATTTGACCCACATGTACAGCATACTGTCAAAACATCTTTTTTTCACCTAAGAAATATCGCAAGACTACGCTCTATGCTATCCTTAACTGTGGCTGAAAAGCTGATCAACATATTTGTGTTCTCTCGAATTGACTACTGCAATGCTCTACTCCCTGGGGTATCTAAATCTACTCTGAACAAGCTGCAGTATGTCCAAAATTCAGCAGCCAGAATCCTGACCAGGTCTAGTGCAAGTGTTCACATTACTCCTATCCTGGAGTCCTTGCACTGGCTTCCGGTCAAATTCCACATAGACTTTAAAATCCTCATGCTCACCTATAAGGCTTTACATGGCTTGGCACCTCAATACCTGTCTGAACTTTTATCGCCCTACTCCCCACCTCGCAACCTCCGCTCTTCAAATTCTGCCCTCCTTACTGTCCCCCAAGCCCCTCTACATTGTATGGGCGACAGGGCCTTCTCCTGTTATGCCCCCAAGCTCTGGAACTCTTTGCCCAAGGATATCAGAGAGTCACCTTCTCTAAACTCCTTCAAATCCAGACTCAAAACCTTCTTCTTCAGAAAAGCCTTTACTTAACTGGTTCCATTTTTCACCCCTCTGCTCTTCTTAATACCACCTTCCACGGTCTCCTCTATTGTTATTGTTGTATTGTTGTAATTATAATTGTGTCCTATCTTGTGAAATCTTCTTATTTATCGTTGTAGTCTTCTTATTTATTGTTATTGTCATCCTGTAAAGCGCTTCAAGAAGCCACCTTTAAAGGTGCTATATAAAATAAAGTTTATTATTATTATTATTATTATTATTATTATGCTATTTTAACAGTAGGTCCTTGCATTTCTTTCCAAGAACTTTACATGCTGGAGGGTAATCCACTTCATCTGCTAGTGAAGTGCTTACCCAGCTGGGTGTGCCAACAGCTCCACTACACAGCAGTTCAAAACTACAGACAAACTGCTTCACCACTTGAATTAAGTTTTAGGAAGGCTGAGCTCTACAACACTAGAGTAGAATTTAGGCAGGACACTGGGGCTAACATTCTGTACCTTTTAGGAAGTGCAATTGGATCTTTAATACAGTACATGGTATCTCCTAAAGCACAGTGTCTCCAATCACCATACAAGGGTGACTTTGTTTTGGAAATTAAACACCAGCGTTCCACATCTTGCACTTAAATGTTATGAATTCCAGCACCTGGTGTTTGTCATTTTATTAAGCCATTGTATATACTGTAAATGATTGCTCCTTAACAGTTCACAGTTTTCAGTTTTGTTACTTTAAAGCTTGCAGTCATGACACTTGAAAGAAGCAATTCATATTTGTTCTATATACAACCTAGTCCACACATTCAGAGCAAAAAACAGACATTACTAGGAAAATGGAAAATCCATTTTTGCATTAGTACAGTATCAAAACCCCTTGCTTGGTTATCTCAAATTAATTTAGGTGCTCAAAATGACCTTAATAAGGCCTAACACAATTTCCTTACCACAATTAGTTGAGTGGTAACTATGTCTTTGCCTATGTGCAATAAAAGTAGTTTGCATGATTTCAAAACGAATACACCCACCTCTGACTATCCTCTGTCAGGTAGTAAACGTCAAGTAAGTTGAAAAAAGTTGTAGAAAGGCACAGATCAGGAGAAGGGAATGACTATTTCTAAGTGCTTCAATATCTTTTTGAGCTTGGTGAAGTTGATCATTAAGAAGTAAAAGTGTCCCAGACACTGCCTAGAACTTAAAAAGTAAATCATGAAGCCAAAATAAACACCGAAAGAAATACAGAGTTTAGTGGCTGAAATGGGAGAAAATCTCCATGGGTCAAAAATATACTCTCACTCCACAAAGGGTGTTTATACAGAACTGTACAGGTTTTTTCTTAGGGTTTGCAACAAAGCTAAATGATACTGCAAATGTGTGATTTTGTGGACAGGCAAGAGAAAATTGGACAGTTTTTGGTTTCATACATACGAAGCAAACCCAGTATAGCGCCTCAAGCGGTCATCGCCATCCCTGCTGCCAAGCATGGTGGTGACAGAGTGATGCTATACAGTAGTTCTGCTTCTCATCAGCAGGGGATTCACCTTGTTATCCTGGAAGAAGGTTCTCTGGACAGGCGAGTCAAAAGTTGAACATTCTGGCCGCAATAAGATCTTTTTTGTGTGTGTTTAGAAACCAAACACTTCCTTCCAGCAGAAAAACCTCATCCCAACTCTCAAGCCTGTGTGGCATTACGCGGGGGCGTGCCCAGTGTGGAGGCAGAGCCCTGGTAGAAGGGTGGAGCCTTACCTTTGTAGTCCCAGCTGTGCCGGCTGCTAGATGATGAGCCCCAGCTGGGCGGGTCCCATTAAGCCACACTGGACACCCGCCGACGGGATAAGCTGGGTGGGGGGGATTTTTACACCGACAGATTGCACCCGCGTAAGGTGTTCTTCTTCTTTTTGCCTGTCCCATCACGTGTTTTCGCCGGGGCAGGCACACACCTTTCTCTCACACAACACAAAGTTCTTGTTTTGTTTTTGCCTTACGCACCCTGCTCACCAGACTGGACCCTGCTAAATAGGGTCAGTCCAAGCTGGAAATCACGAGGCACAGCGGCACACTTTTCTTTTTGCCTTTTTGTTGTATTTTTCCCACTCTTTTTGTATTTGTGGTCGCCGCTAACCTCACACCGGTGCTTCCGTTCCCTCACCCGGGACTTTTTACAGGCGCTCGCCGCTGCGCCTCTATACGCTATCACACTGTGTGGTTGTGGAAGTATCGTGGTTTTGGGCTGCTCTCCTGCCCCAGAAGCTGGATAGCTTGACGTCATCGATGAATCCATGACTTTGGCGCTGTATCGGCAACTTCTAGAGGAAAATGTCAGGTCATCCACTTGTCAGCTGAAGCTGAGCTGTAAGTGTGGTCATGCAGTAAGACGACGACCCTTAAACATACAAGTGGATCTACAATAGAGTGATTGAAGAAGATATTTTAGATTTGCCAAATCAAGGTCTGGACTTAAACTCCATTAAAATCTTTTTGGACAGGACCAGAATTGAGCAGTTCATGCAAGGAAACATTAATATTTCACCAACATGAAGCATTTCTCTAAGAAAGAATGGGACAACATGAATAAAAGCCAATGTGAGAGACTGATAAACTGTAATTGAAAACGCCCAGTTGCTCAAGAAGGTGCTACCAGTTACTGAATCTTAGAGCTCAGTTCATGAACTTATTTACACAAGGATATTTACCGTTGGATCATTTTGTTAGTAAAATAATCTATGCGTTTGTGTTATATGATGAATCAGGTTAGCTTCTTGTTTTAGTAAGACGTTTAACGAAGATCTCATTACATTTTTTTTATCTAAAATATACAAGAATATGGACCACAAACGTTCTGTAATCAAACATCGCACCACTTTAGCACAACAAATTATTTGCTATATATTCACAACCTATGCTAACCTTTCAGATGAGTAGAAAAATATAAATTTGCAAATGAATTGTAGAATTCATTAATGTACATTAATGTACAGTAGAAAGAAAATGAAATCCCTGTATATGTATAAAAAGAAATAAGCTATAGAACACATTAACACATTAACACATACATTTATCTTTATTTGTCTTCTATTTTGATAGATTTTGTTCTTCAATTAGATTCTTGAGAAAAGTTCATGAAAAATACAGTAGCTGATGTCATGTGATGTAAATTAAATATTATGCGCTGTACCTTTCAGTACATACACTATGTGAACGCCACACTACACTTTCTGTCTGGAAGCGTATATACAGTATGAATCAACAATAAGACGAATAGAAATAACAGACATTGAAGACACACCTGTTTTATTTCGTTTTATAAATATAAATATTTAAGGAAAGCCAACTCAGCGTTTGGAAAACGTTTGATTAATACATGTATCTAATTCGAACAATTAACATACTTTATTGTAATAACTATACAAATTGATATGAATCTTATTTAAAAATTAATTAAACTATAGTTATTTAATATATTTTTAAAATAATAATTAGCTATTATCTGTCCTCTGATTAAGAATATTGCAAAACTGGACATATACAGTATGATTTCATTATCATTCGCAGTGAAGAGATTCTATTTAAATGTGAATTTACTGAATTGGTCGAAATTTCAATAATTTGTTTTACAGTGAATTATGCATGTATTCTCTGCATTGCAGTACAATGCATGTTCGATACAACTAAAAACAAAGTAAATTTTCATTGAAGACTGACTAAATATTAGACTAAACTGACTAAAGAAAGCTAATACAATTATAGCACAAATAACAGTCCCATTATTATTACTATTACTATATTATATTAAATATTGGCCAATGCCGTCATTGTACCTTTTAGAAATAAAATTAAAACGCTTACATTACGTCAGGAATTAATGTATTCTAGAATCTAATAGCTTAGCAATTGAGAAAATACGGCGTCTGTTACTATAATTCTTGCTCTACAAACACACAAATTAATAAAATTAGACTGAATGAAAGAAGGAAGATCTTCATTTAATTTGAATGTGAAATTGACTCTAAGACTATGAATAAAATTTTAATCGGGGACAGGAAAATACGAAAAAGTAAATATACTGTACGTAGAAGACACAATTTAATAAAAAAAAATATATAATACATTCAGTCGAATGATTTTAGTCCGCTCTCAAAAGACATCTGCAAACAACATTTTTTCAGCAAACACAAAATATATGCGGTCTTACTAATTAACAGTGGAGTGGACCACTTCTTGAAAGATGGTTATCTTTAACAGTCAGGAAAATGGGGGATATACGTTTACGGAACTGGAAATTTTGGATTAGTTAAAAGAGCTAAGACAGAGGCAGAAACATCACGCTAAACGGGAAATGCCAAATGAAGTTCAATCTCCGGGGCTTTCTGGTGTGCATCATTACTGACCAAACAATATACAGTAAAGGAGATCTCGAAAGCCCAAATTCTCACATTTTCTTAGTGGAGGTTTATAGTGTAAATCCCCCCTTTATTCTGACAACTATATAACGTTGCGAAGAAGCCGAAAAAATCATTTCGATTGTCATTAGCAGACCCTTAAAAGAAAATATTCAAAATGGCAAAGTTCGTAATTTATCTTATTTCACTTTTTCCTTACAAAATTCAAGCTTCGTTGTGCCCTGAAGCTTGTAATTGCAACGATATGGACGTATTTTGTTCTAACAGTGGATTGACCTACGTACCCCAGATTCTCGGAACACATTCACCGGCGCAATATTTGAGTTTAGGGGGCAACTTCATCCGGTCTGTTGGCACCGGTGACTTCTTATTTTACACGCAACTGAACAGACTGGATCTTCAATACAATGTCATCAGCAGTATCCAACCTCGTTCCTTTGAATCGCTAAAAAAATTGAAGGAGCTTTATCTGGGACACAATCGTATTTCATTTTTGGTAAATCAAAGTTTCTCCGGACTATCGAATCTGCTTTATTTGGATTTAAACAAAAACCAGTTGTCCTCGGTGCAAAGAGATGCATTTAATGGACTAGTAAACCTTAGAAAACTGCGGCTCAGCGGCAACGATGTCTCTTATCTACCTAGTGGTTTATTTTCCGACCTTAAGATGCTGGAGTTGTTATATCTGGAGGACAATAGGATCTCATCTTTATCCAGAAATGTATTCAAAGGACTGGGGAATCTGCGTGAGTTGTATCTGTCAAGGAACAATGTGACAATCTTATCTGGAGACGTTTTTAAACATTTAAGATCACTTTCGGATATACAATTGGATGATAATGCTATCACGCGAATATGGAATGGTAATTTTTTGACACTTTCAGAACTTAAAACGCTCTCTTTGAGTAACAATGTTATTACCGAGATCGATTCAGGCGCGTTTAATGGATTATCCAAACTGAAGGTCTTGAATGTTGATGGAAACAGAATTTCAGCGATAGGAAAACAATTTTTGAGTCGCAGTCTTCATTTGGAGGAAATAGATTTAAGCGGCAATCAAATCGGGACGGTGGAAGAAAGTGCATTAGATGGTTTACGATTTCTAACAGTTTTGAAACTAAACAACAACAACCTGAGGTATCTGAATCCCGGGGTTTTTAAGACCAACCTGCAGTTATCCATTTTAGATTTGCATGATAACCCATGGCACTGCAACTGCGGAATAATTGATCTAAAAAACTGGCTAAAATCTTCTTCGGACAGGATACTAACTACTTTTGTAAAGTGTTCTATACCAGAAAAGCTTAAGGGAATGTACCTTGATTTTGTAAGCAGTGAAGTTATCCAAAGCGCAGACCCAGCTTGCCCTGATACGATGCTCTCTGATGAACCAGGAACATTTATGACTGGTAACAGATTGGCAACGCAGCGCGACACCGAGGAAGAGAAAGAAACTCACACAAGGGCAACAGCAACCCGGGTCTTTACCATGCCTGATTCATTCACAACTGTAATTAAAAATACAACAAAGCGCCATATAACAAGTGCCGAGTCAGGTAAACCTCAAAGTCTAACAACACAAGCAACATCCTCTTATGGTAATCGGAGTATGTCGCAGAATACGGCAACACCGACACTTGTCACAACCACCGCTTTTAACAAACCATCACATCTGAAGAACATTACACCCTGCGATTACAACCAAAATGCTATTTTGAATATTTCTGCTAGGGTGGTCACCTCTAATTCAGCAGAAATATCGTGGAATCTGGCCCGCGCTGGTAAAGAACATGTGTATTTTAGGATAATGTACGACCAATTCGATGGCAACATCAGATTCAGTCGCTTCATAAACGTCAACAAAGGCAACGTTTGTAATCTTCGGGATCTAAGGGCGTCAACTTCTTACTTTGTCTGCGTGGAAACCGTTGTTAATGAGAAAGTTTGTGAAGTAGCACCAAGAGATCTCTGCATTGGAATTGTCACAAAGGGCGAAGAAAACTCAACCCCCGATCCGCAGCTCGTCATTCTGTACATCAGCGGAGCAAACGCGGTGGCGATAACAATCACCTTAGTCATCATTATATGCGCAGTTGTTAAGAAAACGAGGAAGTCTCCTCCAGACTCATCTGTTCCGCAGTTTGTGTAGGTCTCCCTTCTGACTATAACTCTGGATACAATTCTAACAGCTCCCACACCGGGACTTACCAGCCAAACGAAATAGGTGCTATAGATTTGCCCCGGGTGGATTAAAAAACACAGATAAAGCATCATAGTGATGTGTAAGAAGACTGAACATACTTTGAACTGTAATGTAAGCCTCAGTTAAAAAACTACAGCTTTGAATTGGAAATGTGTATATTGTAGTTGTGTGTATAACGATGCGATGTATGCATTTGTTTTCATTAGAAAGAAACTTTCACGCCTTAATTCAGTCGAAGCAGCACTTGCTAGTCTAGTGTCCAGATACCGTATCATACATATGCACGTTGTGTGAACTAATGTATAATATCTTGAGTTTAAGTGTAAGGATGAATGTAACTGTCCTTATAGATACAAACTTTATGCAAATACTTTCCTATGTCTTAGACGTGCCAGTCAACAGAAAAATAGAAAATGTTTAAAATATTGTCTAGATTATGGTTTTATACGTTTGTCCACTAACTCACCATGTAGTTTATAAAGTTTTTTAAAATATTTTTTTCGAAATGAATGTGGTGTTTTACAGAAAATGTAAAAGTGTAGCATGGAATATTAAAAAGTGCTTTTTATATTATGTATAATTTATTAAAGATAAAGTGTGAAGTCTTTGAAATAACCTAGAGCAATGTTTTGTGTTTCAGTATAAACATTTCTTAGTCTATAATGGGGTTGAACAAGTTTTGGGTAGTCACAATCGAGGTGTTATACAGTAGGTCTGGCATAACTCATCAGGTTATCAGCTGAAAATGTCATTTTAACCACATCAGCAGGCAAGTTGTTCAGCCAAATAGTTTTGGAGATTATTTGAATTGACAACTGAAATGAATCAATATCTTGTACAGTGCTTTGCAAAAGTATACAACTTCATCCAATTTTGCTGAATTTTGTTCCATTGTATTGAATTCCAAATGCTGCAGACATTTTTTAGAAGTGAATATTTACATCAAAACTTGAAAGATTAAACTGAACACGTTTATAGGTGAAACAAATGTCGACAAAGAAAACTCCAAAACTAAAACATGTTGATTGTGTAAGTATTCACCCCTTCTGCCAAGAAAAAACTAAATTTGTTCAGGTTCACAAAACTACTTCGACAAGTAACAAAGTTAGCTGAATGGCCTCTCTGTACAATAATTGGGTTCACATGATTTCAGAACAAATACGCCTGCATTAAATACGCAATGTGAAAGATGAAGCTTCTAAAACATGTCAGGGATAATAAAATGATAGAAATGCACAGGTCAGGTGTACAAAACAGTTTCAAGCACACTGCGTATACTGCTGAGCACAGTAAAGTTGATCATTAAGAAGTGGAAAATGTGTTGTACTACCCTAGATCATGCTATCACTCCTAACAAAGCAGCTGATCAAGGAGGAAATTGGTGAGGATTGCCAAAAGTGACTTGGAAAGAGATAATTAATTCCTAAGCTGAGATGGGAGAAATGGCAATGAGCTAACGACACCCCAATAACGTCACTCTGTGGCAGATTGTCAGGAAGGAAACCAATACTAAAATAAAACCTCTCAAATCACGAGACGTTGGCAACGAAACATTTAAGTGAGACGGAAATCATGTTTCAAAAGGCTTTGTGATCAGGCGAGACAACACTGGAACCTTTTGGTCTACAAACGCAAAGCATCATGTCTGCCACAAACTCACCACAGCATATCGCCATCATTACTGTCAAGCATGGCGGTGGCAGCATTATGTTATGGGGCTGCTTCACATCAGCAGGGAATGAGAAACTTGTCAAGACTGAGGGGAGAAACAGATGGGAGCAAGACAGAGGCAAGTCTTACAAGGAAACTTGCTTCAGAATGCTAAAAATCAAAAAGGTACATAGCCAAAGTTACACTGGAGTAACTTAAGAACAAAGTGAATGGTCCCAATTCAATCCTGAGAGAAGATCTGTGGGAAGATAGAAATTTGCTGTCTATCAACAATCAAGTCCGAAGCAATTCTGCAACAAAGAATGGACAGAAATTGCACAATCCTGGTGTGCAAAATTGGTCTAAACATAATCCACAAAGACTTTGGCAGTCATAATTTGTTCCAAAGGGGCTTTCAACAAGTACTATCCCTTTGGGGTGGGTGAATACTTATGCAATCAACTTATTATTTTTTACTTGTCTTTGCAGTTTTACTGTCATCTAACTTATTTCACCCATAAAAGTGCTAAGTTTGAGCACTCAGTTTTTGATTAAACATACTCCCTTTACAAACTACATACATAATTTACAATTCACTGAATCTATGTCATTGGAAGGGGGTGAATACTTTTGCAAGCCATTCCAGGTCTGAAGAACAGTTGATTATTCGAGACTTTATTAAACTAATTTACTTACCAAACTGATCAAAACTTACAAGTGTTCCCAGTTTGTATTAACTGAGAATTTAAGGTTGATCTACAGTATAGGGTTTGGAATCTCTTGAACAATATACAGTATAACATGATGGGACTCTCCAACAGTCAGAAAAAAAAATGACATCATTGTAATTCTACGATTGTCCACAAGATGGTAGGATACCCCCAAAAGAAGCTGACAGCTATACATCTGCAAATATAACATCACCTACAAAAATCGTTCACCTAAAAATAATCACTCCCCTGGTGTATCCTTTCTTTATCCATTATTTATACAATAAAAAAAGATAAACTATTAATATCAATGACATTATTAAGGTATTAATTCATATTTCTTAATAATTTGTCTTCTTATGAAAAATAATGAGAAATTATAAGTCATTTCACACTGTCCTCCTGAAAACTGAACACTAGATATACAATAAAATAAAAGGGCAACAGGTTCTTCAAAAGGTAAAAGTACAATTTTAAGATGTATACCTTCCAGAGAGTGGGAAGCTAAGTTCACTGCATCTAGAATTTTGCTTAATGTGAAGTACACACTAAACTGTATTGAGAGAAAGATTTCAGTTTCAGAATCGCTTATAGTTTGGTTTTACTAAGCCAAACCAAAGAAATGATGTGCTTCAGGGAGACTGCAGAATCCCAGGGTTTTTCATTTAAAAACCAAGGCAATTAATAGGCAAATTTACACAAAACTGAAGCACTGTCTTCAAGCTGAGGTCCAAAGATTGGTATGAAAGATTCCTGGGTGACAGTACACAAAACCTACAAAAAATGGAATACAGCCTTTATAGACCTTAAAGAGATATTAAAAGATTTATTACAACTTTAATTTATGATTTTATACAGAACTTTCACAAGTTACACTTTACTGCCAACACAATAGTATCACGCCTTTTAATGCAGTTGAACCAGAAAAAAGTTAAAGGAAGTACTTACAGAACCAGTCATGAATCTATTATCATCTTGCTAGAACTCAAGGTGGCACGACATGTTAGATGATACTTATTTAACCGAGACTTTTATATTGGTTTAATTCTCTCAGAGAATTTATACATGCAAATAGCACAAAACAGTGACAGTACAAATTACCTGTTTAAACAAGAATGTTATTTTCATTTGAAGGTCTTTGAATTGAAGAAATGCAGCATGTCTTTATAAAACTACACAGTAGTAAGCAAATACATTGTAAGATAAAAGGCAGATGAATGATGCTGTGATCTGTAACCCAATATTTGTTGTTTTACTATTAGTAGTGTTAGTATTATCTAAAATAAGGATAGAACAATTTTAATAATTTGCCAAGCAAGATGTGAGTTTGACAGTTATGTTAAATAAAAAAATATGGTCTCCTGATCTCTTCAGCAGTATCTGGGCTCAGAAGAATTTGAGAATCCCTACTTTAAAGACTCCCACAAAGGCTACATTTTTATAAAAGAAAACATTTATAATGGGCTCTCAAATACAGCATTATTTCATAAAAAAACAATGTACAATTTTCTCTCATTGCTGAAAGTTCACATACAGTGTATCATCATTTAGGCCATTTACATTTCATAGAATCTCAAATTGTCTTTGAAATACAAGAAATGAAAACAAGTCATTTTAATTTGCTACAGTAGTGTAATTTCTGAACAGCATTTGCTGAGACTGTCACGTTTCTATAAGCTCAAGCAATGTTACACATAAAAAAGCATTAACATGATACGTTATATAATCCCATCCAAATGATCATGACAGGGGGACAGATTTGTAAATGTTTCCTAATCCCTACAATACAAATCGAAACCTGTGAATAATTTAATATGAAATATTAATGGCACATTTAGTAAAATTCATTACCTAGCAGATGTCTGGATAATGAGAAAAAAATTACTGTAATTCTACAATCACCTTATCTGTAACAATGAAACTACACATGGAATGTTAGTCAAAACATCGTTCTTGAACATACATTATTCTAAGCAAAGATTCTCATTAAGACTATTTTACAAGTGGAGGCAACTGTTAACATTCAAACCACAGAGTGCTACTGGTATAAGCACCATACCACTCACACATACAAAATATTTTTTCTCAACTCAATCACTGATATTGTGTAACAAGACAAGTCTTAAAATTTACCACTAAAAGCTGCCAATACTTACAGGTGAACAATCAAATACAATTTAAAAACAAATCCTTCTTCTCCCTCATGTGCAAAATTAGAAAAGGCAAATAAATAAACAAAGTGACTGCTTAAATTGTGTCTTTTTCTCTCAGATAGTGCTTTAAAGATGTCAAGAAAAATCGACAGAAGCTGTATGACACATACTTTGGTAGGAATGTCTCATCAGTGATGTATCATTTTAATAAATTAAAACTCCTTTCCGAGTAAAAGAAATAGACAAAGGTGCCTGGCATATTCAATCAATTTGATCAATTCAAATAGATGTAAGAGAAAAAGACAATCAGTCCAATTTTCAAAATGACTGGAAAGTGCCCTTGAGCATGACCACTTGCTCCACGCTAGGTACTTTTGGTATTAAGAATAAAAAAACAACAACAACAACAACAATAACCGAACTTAAAAAAAAAAGAAATACAGCATTCTCCAAAACGGAGAAAAGTGAATGTTCCTTCTTCCCTTTTTGTAGCTGGAAATAAAGCATTGACCGCACGTCCAACCCATCAAGTCCCCGAGGACTGTGCCTGGGAAGGAAGAGCCACCACTACCTGCGGTTTCATTGGGTCTGTACTCTGCTCGGCCAGCGAGGTTAGGGCTGTGGAGGCCACCGAAGAGGAGCTGACTCCATTGGAAGTGCTGACAGAACTGTGCTGGATGGCTTCGGCCTGAGGGCTGCTGGGCACCGAGATGTCTTCAGAACTATCGTCCTTATCGGTGTCTAGACAACACAAACGACAACATGCTGGGAAAACCATTTGACACAGTAGTCCTTACTCAACACTTAAATGGTGGCATCTACACGGTGATTTTATTAAACCACAGTTCACATGGCTCTAATATATTTACTTATTATGACGCTACTTATTGAATTTGAATCGAGTTCCAGAGGACTGGCAGGGAAGAGTCACCACTACCAGCGGTTTCTGCTAACGAAACTCTTATAATTATCCTCAAATACTGGAAAGTCACACAGTATTTCAAAATACCCTGTTAAGTTCAATGATTTTCTTGAAATGGACAAATTCTGCAATAGACTGAGCAGTGACAGGAGAAACTAAACATATTCAATTGAATTCACATCCTCAGTAGTGTGGAGTTTAGTCGACAACAGCTTATCTTTCAGGTATCCCACCAGCTAAAATGAAGAAGGCTCAGGTGAGGAGCCACAAGGGACTTGTCTAAAAGGACTAACGTAGAAAGCTGCGTCATGAACTTCAAACTCTATATGAAACTCCTTTCCAGAGTTGATTCAGGATTCATGTTTTCACAATATTCGCAATAGTTTTCACAATAATGCTTATTATTTACATCAGTACTTACTGTTCAAATACCATCTTGAACAACTGCTATTATAACTTGAGCATTGGGATACCAATAGCTTAAGGTATAATGTCCCAATTCTTTTATATCTTAAAGGAAAAAGTTGTGTTCCTTACTTCATTATTGAAGTTCATAATACAATTATGATGAATACTTACAAATAGAAATGAATAATAAAACACAAACAGAATATTTATAAAAAATAAACCATTTTGGGCAGTTTGTAAAATTTTAAAAGACTAATAGAAACGTAAAAATCAAGGCTTCTAATGCATTTCAAAATATACAGAGTGGGATGACAGCTAAGTTTTATGTAACTCGGATACTTTATCCTGTTTTATGTAGTAAGACTAAGTTTGAAATATATTTTTGTATTACAGCTTTAAGACTATAGTAAACAGACAAATCCCAAAAAGAACAAACATCAAGGTCCAAAATTTGATCTGCTAACTATCCTATTGAAACCATTTTTGTAATTTCACACTTACGTGAACCAATTACAAAACTTGGAGCTTTCTCTCATGACAATTCCATTCTTTGTATACTTAAAGATACAATGTCATTTAAAACAAACATAATAAGGCTTTAATACATTTTTTGTCATGTAATAGTGTTACAGTATATCTTAAATTGTTTTCATTTGTTTCTGGCTACCTTGCCAACTACTGCAGCGACAGATGATTACAGCACCTGATTTTAATGATGCTCACACAGGAGAATATGCAATACTTGGAGTCTAAATGCCACCAGCTGTTAAGCAGTTGCATTGAATTAATTGGATCCTGATTAAAAAAAAATCTCTATAATGTACTGCCTCATAAAGGAATGCAGACCACTAAGATAATTAATACTGCTAATGATAAAAAGTCACTTTAAATGGCACTTGGTAATTAATTGTTAGGTTTGGTATTTGAAAATGTGAGTTGCAGGTATTTTTATGTAGGTTACTATAAAATTTCATTTAAATGGCCTTATGTCTGTAATGCTCCCAAAGCATTCTTATTGATGGGAGTTTAATAAAATGATTTGGTACCGACGTAATTTAAATTGTCATAAATTATTTCGTCCTTTATTTTCTCATAAGGAAATGATATATTAATCTTTCTTTCATACAAACTACATTTAATTACACCTGTTAGTGTGAGATTACAGCAAGGGACAGGGGGGATGTGCCATATTATAATGAGCACTCCGAGTCAGTCAAGTCCCAGGGCTGTGTTGCACCTTTTTTAATTTTTTTTTTTCCAGCAGATGGGAGAACAGTCTGCCAATGGAAAAAAAGTCTAGTCCTGCTTATTTGTAAGGGATGTTGGATAATTTCATCCCACCTGCCACAGTTCCGCCTCTGCTGCATGATTAAGTATGTTAACAGGCAAGGCTGGAGAAAGCTTGAAGCCCCCTGAGTCCCAACCTCCTGGCTGGGAGGATTTGCTGGCTTGAAGCCCTACTGTTACATGCAAGGCATTGAGAGATGATTAGGGGTTGAGAATGTAAGAGAATTTTCATTTTAAGAGTAATATTAGTTACACGGCTTTACCTCATCTTAGATTTGTGACCAGATTAGCATTTTTTAAAGCACGGTTATTACAAGGACAACACAGCAACATCGCTCTAATGGGATGCATGAAACGCTCATATTTCATTCTCAGTGTAAGTCAAACAGGTACTGGAAGCCTCCGTAAACTACCGAATTCCAATTTCCAACAGTAATGTATTTAGCTGAAATGATCTGGTGATGAATGCTGAAATTAAAAAGGGATATTTCCGTACTTAAATATATCACTCTAATCTCACAGTTGTAAGCAAAATATTAACTGTCTGGTGTGTGTAAACAAAAAAACCTAAAATATTTTAAAGTGATGGCCTGTTCTGAAAATAGAGTTTATTCTTTCTCCCCTAGACATGATAGTGCTGCCATGATTAATGAGATTAAATTAAGTTGGATTAAATAGCATGTGACTATCGAATATTAGGATATAACTAGCAGTTATAGCAAGTTTCCAACTCTGCGCCTCCTATTCAACACTATGTACATGTCTATCATTTTTACAATTAATTCACTGAACACAATAAAATCTTTCTGCTTGTACATACTCATAAATGAGAGCAGAAGAGGAAAACCCATTAAGTATAAAAAGTGTCTAAATATTTGAAATCTCAAGTGCAATGTACAGCCATTAACCTGTGCAATAATACTTTGACTCACTGAAATACTTGTTTATCTGTTAATATAAAATGCATATGCATAAAAATGCATGTTCTGTTTGAAGCACTGATGGCACATAACAGAAACACTCCATTGTCAGATCCCATATAGTGTTCCAGAACTCCTTCATACTGGTAGCCAGTAAAGGCTATGCTCATCACCTACTCAAAAAAACGTTAATGCACAGTAAAGGGAGCATACTGTTAGTCTGAGGAAGCATTGCTAATTCATACTCATCTCGAAGTATTCATAAACACAGAAGTTCTCGCATTTTATTTTCAATATTTTTACTGGGATGTCTACATCTTAATATTATTTATTCAGATCTAGGAGTACAGGATGTGAAACCAAGAAAAAAACACCAAAGCAGTGTGCAGTATGATTCGACACTCAGGTTTAAATGACAGACATAGAAAGTAGAACTTCAGTCACAAATCTGAAAACAAAATGATAAAATACTGTAAGTCCCTGCCCATTTTTTTAAAGCTAAGTCAAATTATTTACAATTTTATCATTTGCCAAACCCCAATCCACAGAAGTCAATATAATTTATCCCTAATGTTGCAATCTTTTATTTTTCCTTGAATTAAACAAATGAGTCATCACTGCATCTCCAGACATTGGGGATTATTCAGAAGATCTACTGTCTGTTTTACTGTGGCGGTAAAAGCATATTACTGTCTCGTTATGTCCCTTCCTGATTCATAAAGGTTTACTGGCATGTCACTGCATTACTGTGTTGGAAGGCATGAGAGTCACAACACCTCCTTTTCACCGTTTATACACACTGAAAATAATTCAAAAATCTGATGGCAACTCTACAGGCTTGACAATGGAGATTGCTTAATGTTATTTTGCTCAATGTTTGTGTGATTGATAACTCGGAGTCTGACAAAATCATCTTGCTTATCAATGTAAATGAAATATACATGTTTCAGTAAAAAGCAAAAAGCTGAGGGTATTTTTTCCTGATGGTGAATTTACATTTCTGATGGTAATGGAGACACAAATCACCTTGGCTGAAAGATAAGGTTCTCATAACGAGAAATCGGATTTAACCTTTCAACTCCATTTTGCAGGTCCTGCCACCTACACTACAAAAACTATTTTGCAGTTTCTGACTATGACACAGGACAAAGGTAACACAATCTTAAATCTTTGTAAGGTGCTGAGTGAAGAAATACAGGTAAAAACCTCACGGATTTGTGAAATTCCCATCATTTGTATAACACTAACTCAAGAGCACAGCTTGTTTATGCTTCCTAGCGAGTTTTCAAGAGTACTTTGCTTATTTGTTGTAAACCATTACACATTTAGACAGCTAGTTTAAGGCTATGGGCTATTTCAGAGGTGGTCTGTGATGTGTTTTGTTGAACAGCACTCCTGGTTTCCCTGGTATAGCACTTAATATTGTTCTTATATGGTGCTGAAAGAGTTACTGTCACAGAATTGGCTGCATAACTCATTCTCATAACCATTAAATTGAAAAATTAAACTACGGTGGTATGATTCTTCTGTCTTTCATTTCAGTTTTGACAGCTGAAACACTGGAGTCTGCAATTCAAAATGTACCAATATAATCCTTTCCATGAAGATGAAAGTGTAACTAAAAAGCATATTTGATTCTGTAGTATAAAACAAACATGATTAGGACACATCAAGTGTAAGACATAACTAATCTTTTTTTATGCTATACACAAAATGTAAAAGTAATTACCTATATTTCTGTATACAGAACATGAATAATTACAGTACCTTTTATCACTCAAAGGGGCACAGATGTGATCAATCTGACAATGATATGGACAGGTACCTACGTGCAAAAGTGTTTTCTTTTAGATTTTAAACCCAAATAAGTTAACTGATGCTGCAAAAACCTCTACTTGAAGAATGAATTCTTGAATTGCGATTATCACAACCTTTTGACTTCCTGATATGACTTTGAATTCCACAAGAAATTACCACAGCACAAACTTCACCATCATGTAAGCCATCAAAGCCATTTGCAGACTGACTCTTAGTGCTTAACTCACACTTGGCCACATTTTTTCTTTCACTTTAAATTGTGCCTGTTCATTATCTTAAATATGCTTGTCACTTATTCTTATGGTAGCTGGTGAAAGGGTGTTTCAACATGATGATCTGGAAATATTTTTGTACTGTAGCTTTCTCAAACCTAAGTGATGAAATCTGAATCGGTGTAAAGTCCAATAAAGGCATAGGTAAAAAAACTCCACTGAATTTAGAGATGACAATTCAATTAAATATAGTAAACACAGAATGTTGATAAATTAATCTAAAGTGCCATAGGTGACTGTAGTTGAGCCTACTTTTGTAACAGATCTGTAGCTACCTGAGCCTATTAACACCTACTGCAGCTGTTACCCAATGGTAAAGCTCTAGTTATATAAATGTTGTCACAAAGGAAAAATAGGCAGGAATATGCAGACATTTAATAATATTTTCTGAAGAGTGATTTAATAGCTTTGTTAAGGAATCATAATTGGACATTACTCTTAGACACAGCCACAAAATGTCTTTTCTCTAAGAAGATGCCAAAGCCCACCCTATCTTTCTTCTTGAATATATGGATTAGAAAAATGAAGGAAAATCCTAAACACGAATAGGAATAATAGCTCACTTGTTAGTGCACGGCTAAACAAGAGTTTCAGTGCAATGCTGCACAATTTCAGACTAAGTTTCATGGAGGTCTCCAAAATAACAACACAAAAAAACAAACATGAATCATAGTTCTCTTCATTCCTAAAAGCACCTCAAACAACTGAGTCCACATCAAATAGGGTCTGTAACTGACAGCATATTCCAACTCCATAAGCTATCAGTCCCATTATTTTTATGAGTCATGTCAGTTCTATGGTTAACAATAGGCATGCATAATAAGCGCAGTGATGCACAGCCGCTTTTCAGAAGAGAACCATAGTCTTGTCAGGCTAGGGGCTATAATTGACTAATTTTGGAAGCAATCATTGTCAATATAAGTCAGCAGCATATTCCAGAAAGTTGTAACTCAGCGCCGAAATGTGGTTCCCCATGTTGTTAAACTGATTGCAGATCAAAGGGCTCTTGAGTTATGAGCACAAAGCTGACAAAATCAATATTCTAAATGCACTAAGGATGGAAGCATGCTGGATCTCTGGAATCTTGAAAATTAAAAAATATTGCTTGTTCTTATAAAAGTGCTTACAATGACTATTTAAATCTGGCAGCCATTAAGTTTTATCGCAAGCACCTGAGGAACTGCTACAATGCACGGCAAAACTCTTTTTTTCTGTGGCTCTACTGACAGTAGCAAATTGAAATGAAGTGGGTACATATGGTAGAAACAATATACAGATTTACAAATTTCCCAAAACATCATTAAATCATAACGCCAAAGATGTGTGCTATATATTATAAATGCCGTCTTATGCATTCGGAGCTCTGTTGTTCATTATACATTTGTTTATGGCAAGGAAAAATGTCATTTATCGAACAGGAGCAGCTGTGTTGAGAATTGTAAACCTTACTGAAAAGTACACCTTACAAAAAGTCAACACAATGAAACTCCGAGTAACAATAAAAAAATAAAACAATCTGTAATCAGCCTCCACTTACCCCTCCTAATTAAAGATCATGTATTCTGTCCTGCTGTTTTACCACCAAGAAATCTAACTGAAATTATAATTTCCACATTTTCTTTCTGTGCACTGTTGGTTACATTAAATGACAAATCTAAAAATGTCTGCAAATGGAGATATTAAAGAGAGCGCATGGATGTCTTAGTAGTCTTATTTTTACATGAATACATAACCTTATAGTTGAAATGTTTCAGACTCTCTGTACTCAACTTTGGGGTATCCATTGAAAAAAAATCTCTCTCAAAAGTTTATACATATTATAAAACTAAACAGAGAGCAGTAAACTCCAGTATTATGAACCGCTGGAAATACTGAATAGCTTATTTGAAACCTGATTGAATTGTCTATAGAACTAACAGGGCGATATGGTAATGGTCAAGACTTGTATCATGCGGCTCACTGTTGTGACACCTGTGCTATCAGATCCAAAATTGCATTTGCAAGGAAAATGTAAGATCCCATCTCATTTTCTAAATGTTACATGTTAGAAATTGGGTATTGCTCATCTTTATGAAATACAGAATTTTCCACTATTAAACAGAATATCACTGCCTTACTTTTGCAGTATTAAAAGACAATCTGAATATTACTTTAATAAGCTCAGTTTTTTTAATGCAATGTTAAGCAGTAATGCACGTTCCTCTCACAGTTAACTCGGATCATTCTGGCAGTATTTCATTTAAACAGCCTAAGGCTATGGATAATGGAACATTACTCACTGTGATAGCCAGATTTCTTCTGCATGGCGGTTACAGGGCAATCTTTATGAGCCAGAAGAAGCTGTTTCAGCTGAGCCACTTCATTTCTCAGCAGGGTGACTTCATTCTGCAGGGAAAAAGAAGCTGAAACTTTAACTAACACTACTTGCAGGCATCACGAAACAGAGAGGTTGTTGTTAACTTTTATAGCTTCCTCTATAGTGCAACATGATACAATAAGTTTAAGAATTCATCACATTCTCAAATTCCTCCAATACTGAACTACACAAAACTTGTGCAGTCCCAAATAGGTTACTCTAGGCAAAATATTGAAAGTACCTATACACAGTGCCTTCAGAAAATATTCACCCCCTTGAATTTTCACATATTTTTCCTGTTACACCTCCAAATGTTAACAGATTGAAATAACTTTTTCACCCTTCAATAACGCAATAAATTCAACACATTTATGAATCAAAATATTTTTTATTCAAGAACATTCGTTTCTCCAGAATGAAAGACTTACAGTTCTCATTTACAAAAGTATTAACCCCCCCACAACTCAATGCTTTGTACATAGTTCTTTAGCAGCAATTACAGTTGTGAGTCTTTTCCGGTATATCTGTATGAGCGTTGCATATTTAGATTGTGGAATTTTTGCCCATTCTTCAATGCAAATTTGCTCCAACTCTGCCAAATTAGATGGAGAGCGTCGGTGGACAGAAATTTTCAGTTCATACCACAGGTTTTCAATTGGATTCAAGTCTGGGCTCTGGCTGGGCCATTCTAGAATACGAACCTTCTTTTTTTCAAGCCATTCCTTGATAGTTTTTGCCGTGTGCTTTGGATAATTGTCCTGCTGGAAAATGAATCTTTGCCCTAAATGCAGATCTCTGGCTGACTGAAACAGGTTCCCTTCAAGGATATGCCTGTATTTGGCTCCATCCATTTTGCCCTTGATTGCAACAAGCTTTCAAGATCCTCCTGCTGAAAAGCAACCCCAGAGCATGATGCTGCCACCACCATGCTTGACGGTAGGTATGGTGTTACCTGGGTGTTGGGCTGTATTGCCCCAAAGATACCCTCAAACATTGGTATGTTTGCCCCAAACATAGCACTTTGCTTTTAGCCTAAAAAGCTGAACTTTAGTCTCATCAGACCACAAAACGTTCTTCCAAAAGGTTCACGTTTTGTCACATGGCTTCTATCAAACTCCAGGCATGACTTAATGTTGGCCTTTCTCAGCAGTGGCTTTCTTTCTAGCCACTCTCCCAAAGAGGCCAAATCTGTGAAGTGCTGAAGAGATTGTTGATGTCTGGACAGTTTCTCCCATTTCAGCCAAAGAGCTCTGCAACTCTGTCAGTGTTATAGCTGGCTTCTTGGTCACTTCTCTGACAATTGCCCTTCTTGTCTGGTCGCTCAATTTGGTAGGACGGCCTGATCTTAGTAGCGTTTGGGTTGTGCCATGTTTTTTCCATTTTGTTATAATGGACTTCACGGAGCTCCTAGGAAGTTTCAAAGCTTTGCCAGTCTTTTTATAACCTTCTCCAGCTTTTGTCCTCCTAACAGCTTCATCTTGAAGTTCCACGGGCAGCTCCTTGGTCTTCACGACAGCAGGACTGATCTGATCTGCTGTTTTAGTTGTAAGACCTCACAAAGTGAGTCAGTGATATTGTGCAATCAAGCAATTGAACACAGGTAGATTCAAAATAAACACAGGTGTACCTTGTTAATGTATTTAGTGTGATCTCTCAAGATAATTGAATACCTCACCCAATTTAGGTTGTTAAAACAAAGGGGGTGAATACTTATCAATTAAGTAAATTTCAGAGTTTTATTTTTAATATAATTCTGAAGACATCTAAATACTTTATTTCATTTTAGCATTATAGAGAATTACTTCTACAGGAGTGGAAAAAAATCCCATTTAAAATATGCTTTAATTTGTCTTTGTAATACAGCAGAATGAGAAATAATCAATGGGGGGTGAATACTTTCTGAAGGCACTGTACTATAGGTACTTACAATAATTAAATGTTTTATTTTTTCCAGTGATATTCAGGCCTATTCTCTCCTTGTTTTAAAAATATTTTTGCTTGTTTCTAAAAACAAACAGTATGCTGTATATAGCATACACCATAAAAGTAAACTTATGTTTTGCTGCAGTGCCCAGAGTCATGTTTTTTTATAAACTGTATATCACTAAGTGTGGTGGCATATAAAAGGTTATACAAGTGCTAACAGTAACCTTTTAAATCATTATTTAAAAAATTACATAACATACCGGCAAAGCGGCAGTACAAACCACAATACAAACTCATCAAGAACATTAATAATTGCTTACACTTACATAGTGCTTTTCTGGACACTCCACTCAAAGCACTTTACAGGTAATGGGGACTCCCCTCCACCACCACCAATGTGCAGCCCCACCTGGAGGATGCGACGGCAGCCATAGTGCGCCAGAACGCTCACCACACATCAGCTATCAGTGGGGAGGAGAGCAGAGTAATGAAGCCAATTCATAGAGGGGGATTATTAGCAGGCCATGATTGGTAAGGGCCAATGGGAAATTAGGCCAGGGCGCCGGTGTTACACCCCTTCTCTTTACGAGAAACACCCTGGGATTTTTTAATGACCACAGAGAGTCAGGACCTCAGTTTTACGTCTCATCCGAAGGACGGCGCCCGTTTACAGTATAGTGTCCCCGTCACTATACTGGGGCATTAGGACCCACACAGACCACAGGGTGAGCGCCCCCTGCTGGCCCCACTAACACCTCTTCCAGCAGCAACCTTAGCTTTTCCCAGGAGGTCTCACATCCAGGTACTGACCAGGCTCACACCTGCTTAGCTTTATATTGCATTATATATGCAATATATATATAGCATTATACCGTATGACCAAAGTAAGACCAATCTTACATACTGTATATAGCAGTAAACAAAACAAAATGCAAATGCAACAAAAAGCTTTTTTCATAACAAAAGAGCAGTGCCGCATATGATAAAATGTAGGCCTAGTCTAATTAAACTGCTGAGACATAGTATTTCATCATGCATTATTCAAAGGATTATTAAAATATCTTAGATTAAAACTACACTAAACATGAATCAAAATGCACCATCCAACTAACATAAGTAGCTTGCTTGTTTGGTGCACTACATCAGTAACACTGGTCACCAGCTTAACACTTCAACCATTTACTAGTAACCTGTCACATTTTTCAGATGCTCTATGCATATTGGTTTAAGACCTTGCAGGATAATTATTTAAAAGACTAGAAGCTGATGGATGAATCATATTGTGTAGCATAAAAAATTGCTGTGGTTAAGGTAGTTCCAAACTACCTTAAAACTACCTTAAAAAAAGAAAGTAAAAAAATTTGCACTATTTATCAGAGGAAAATTGATTTTTGTCTGCTGTGCTCCCTTGGAGAACTAGGCTCACGTCTTGTGTTGTGAAGCTTGCGACACCTGTTGTGACACCTCATCATTAAAAGAGAAATTATAGTTTGAGAGACTATGTAGAGCCTATTTAGAATGTAGATTTTCTATTTTTCAGAATGATAAGGGAATGGTTTGACCCAACAAAGTAGGTAAAGTAGTAAGACATCAGTGATCTTACAGCACCAATCATTCTGACCAGTGGCAAAAGCTGTACATCTTTATTGAAGACATTCAGACCAAAAGTGCTGGGATTATGTAATTTCAACCTACAGGCTCCCAAATCTGAGATTTCAAATTTGTTTAAAAATGTTAAGAATGACTGTGGCTGTTTGTCTATTTAGCACTAGAGATAATAGTCAGAAGACAACTGTAGGCATCTGACTAACAACCTCTTCTCTCCTGTGTCCTCCCCTGATAAATCCAAAACTGATACTCCATGGAAGACACTTACTGTCTCCGATCAATCTCCTGGTCCCAAAGTACCTGAAAAGAGCTGCTCACCTTTACGTTCAACCAACCATGATTGTGTAGACTGACAGAACTATTCCATTACCTGAAGTTGGGACTGTCATTACAAATTAAACCTGGTACTGGCTTTCCAAAGTGTCACCCAGCTCTGGCACATGAAAAAAAGCTGACGGCTGCTCACTAGGCATTTAAAAAAAATATGGACATTTGCCACAGGTTCACATTGCAGGTCTAGGCCAGGGAATTCCAGCTGTGGTCGTGGAGAGCCCCCGTCCAGTTACTCTTATACAGTAGCTCAGCCTACATCACATATTATGAAAAAATTAAGAACACTGATCACTTAAGAAACCAATGTTTCAATGAAGGAAACACTGGTCCTTGTGGATTGAAGGAAATTCTGATTTTCATTCCATGTGATCTCTAAATTGCTTAAATTGTTCCAGGGCTTTAGAAATTGATTATCTAAGACAGTGGTTCTCAAAATTTGGGGCCCTAGTACCACCCTTGATCAAACCAAAGCATCCAAGTACTGCATTTGTTATTTTCTCATAGGAACCACAGAAAATCTTAATGACCAACATGAGCGCATGCGTGCACACACTCACACACATATAATTAAAACAGCACTTAGTTAATTTGGTTTGTACCGCCTTGTAGCCATTTTCCTACTCTTGCTAACACCAGCAGTGCTGTCTGTGTCAGGTTCAACAGAAGAGCTAGTGTCGATGGCCAAAAGTGTTACCATACATCCGGATTTTCTCGGCCATGTCCTCTATTTTGATCCTTATGTCTCCGTCCGGCGGGAATTCTCAAATATCCAAAAATATCCGGGATTTCAACCCCATTTCACCATGAAGAAATTTATAATAATAATAATAATAATAAGTCTCATCCGAAGGACGGTGCCTGTTTACAGTATAGTGTCCCCATCCCTATACTGGGGCACTAGGACCCACACAGACCGCAGGGTGAGCGCCCCCTGCTGGCACCACACTAACACCTCTTCCAGCAGCAACCTTAGTTTTTCCCAGGAGGTCTCCCATCCAGGTACTGACCAGGCTCACACCTGCTTAGCTTCAGTGGGTTGCCAGTTGTGAGTTGCAGGGTGATATGGCTGCTGGCTAATTAAAATTAATTAACAAAAGTTATATAGATAGTTAGAAAGAGAGAGACCTACGTCGCTGTTCAGTTTTCATCCTCTACATGTATGATTATGTCATGAGACAGTGACAATTCGGGCATCAGTGTCTGTACTCAGTATGTGCAGTGCAGAAGCATTCCCTCGAATGGTTCCCTATTTTGTTTCTCGTTTTCCTACCCTCAAACACAATGCCAAAGCGAAAGTGTAAATTCACAGCAGAACTAAAAAATAAATTTCTGTGTTTTTGAAGTGGCAGAGAAGACTGGGAAGCTGAATGTTTGGTGTGTAAGCCTGGTACTTTTGTTTCCATGGCAAATAAAGGTATACTTGACTTGCAAGCTCATGTTGACTCAGAGTTCGTCAACCAAATGAACAGATGTTTTGTAAAATCTGGCAGCAAAACAGAGGATTGCAGCAGAGGGGACTTATGCATTTCACAGAGTTAAACATCATCACAGTTACTTAACCAATAAACATAAAACGTGGGATATTTTGAAAACCTTCTCCGTCCTGACCCCCTTCCCAGATAAGACAATGGGAATGTTTCTCGAGGTGTCCTCTTTTTTATGTTGAAATATGGTAACCCTAGTAGCCGATGTATAATCGTCTTGGTTCTCAGTAGGTGTGCATGATCTATCGGAGCTGGCGTCAGTGCAATTGGCATCTATTCCTTTCAGCCATTACATAATACTTGATTTTTGTGAGATATTAATTTTTGATTACTTGTTCTGTTGGCGAATGTGGCGCCAAGCTGTGTCTCTGAAATCTTAAGAGGAGTATGAACACTCAAGTATTAGCGCGCGCTGTATCAATGTAGCTAAATATGTAGGCTCTGTATTTGACAATCTAATTTTATTTAAATAGAAAATATGAAAACCCATCTCAAGTTTTCTGAAACCAATTAAGTAAATTAAAGATGAAAAATTTACATCATTTTTAATCATTCAATTTTTAATTCCCAGTTTTTCAGTGCACACAACAAATTTCCAGGGCCATCTGGCATACCTCCCGGGGGCGTGCTGCATACCACAAGTGGTGCGCGTACCAGTTTGAGAATCACTGAAAGGGTTAAGTACAAAACAAGATGGACTGGCTCGAAGATCTGTGCCTCAGGCTGCATACTGCTCCTTACTTGCTTGCTAAGCATCATAAATAAACTAGTTTCTCCTTAGGACAAAATAAATGATGCATTTCTATCTCGGAGTAACATGGATAGTGAAAGAGAAAAACAAAATATTTACTGGAAAGTGTTTTATAAACGTTTTCTTATAAAGAAAACATTCAGAACGTTTTGCAAGTCTATTCTACACAATAAAAATACTGGTGGTTATGGAACCTGTAACAGTTGGAATACATTTTCTAAATCACTCTGATGAAGAAGTTCTATGGTGGAGTTATGACTGTATAAGAAGTCTAGTTGTAGCAATACAAGGAATGAAGCATGAGGAAAAGCATTCTCTTTTAAATAAAACACTAGCACTAGTGGTGTTGTATATCCCAAGACTTGTAGAATTAACAATTTATGAAAAATGATAGGTAATAACGTAAAATTCCTTTGAAACCTATACCAGAGCTATATCCATTTCCTGGACAATGTTTCTGAACACCCACTCTGAAGTTACAAATACCTAAACTTTGCCTCAATCTTGTATGTGAATAAATCTGAACACATCCAGTGTTCAAAGGCTGCTCTTCATTCATATAGTATATATGAACGATGTAGGATTAACCATGTTCATAATGGACCTATATACATATTATAAAATTCTAAATTAAATAAAGTATGGTGCACTTTTTCAATTACATTGTTCCTTAAGTATAATCATGGTTTTTTAATGGCCCTGAAACTACATATTTGTCCGAGGCAGGCTCCTCAGAATGTCAGCGCAACTCTGAAGACTGCTAAGATTTACACTTGACTGTCATTATAATCCCCGAGGGAGTAGGGAATTTTGCATGCAGTAAAGAGGAGTATATTATTGTGAAGGTGACTTTAACAGGATTTAAAGCAGCCAAGTGCCAGCGTAACATACCTTGGCAGATTTAAACACTTTCTGCTCTGTTTTAAAGGACTACAGCAGCTTAATCTATTAGTCCAAAAGCAGCCAATTTATTTTAATCCATCTGTTTAGCCTTGCTTCTCTTGGCAAGTCTGAACTGTTCCTAAAACAGATTTAAACACAGCTGTTGAAGTCCAGCATATCTCAGTACAGTACACCCTGCCATTCCCCATTACACAGCTTCTAGTACTTTATTTGAGCATTTTTTCCCAGTGTTAACTTTTTTGCATATTCCATGCTCTAGCAGTTCACAGTTAATAGTGCAATAAGGCTTGTTTTTAAAATAGCCTGGTTAAAATTAACTGCCTTCCATGGAATGTACAGTATATACTGTACACATATTCATTCACAAGACTATAGTTTTAAAAGGCCTCAGACAAATAGATAATGAACATGCCCAAAGAGCTCATCTGTAACATTTAACATCATTTAAAAGAACAGTAAATGATCTCTTATAAAATTAATGATGTTAGTAAACACATTTGAAAAGATAATGAAAAATACAGCAGCTTCAATAGCAACAGCAGTCAAAACCTCATTATGTCAATGATCTTGTTCACTGGGTTCTGCTCCAAAGAAAGTATTATAAAACTCTAATAGGAATTACTTACAATATTTTAAGCTTTTAAGTTTAAACAATATACTGGAAGGCCAGAAGGCCATTCACTATCCTAAGGCAGGCACATGACCCCATTAAAACTATAGTTAAGGATAATGTTAAAGTAATCATGGATCATTACTGCCAACTATGGTGATCAGCTGTGCCTGCACGTCAGTATAGGAATTATTGCAGAATTTCACAACTGATTAATGGTTTCATATAAAGAAGAGTTTAATTCTCTGACATTCAATTTTCTGTGCAAGTTATTCTGTTCTTCACACTTAACAGCTCAGCTCTTGGTACCCTGAGGCATACTGTTCCTCTACCCTCATCCAATTCCATTAGCTTAACCCTTAACAGACACATAATTCCAAGATCAATACAAAACAGCAGTCAATTTTTAACTTGAAAAAATAATGACCCCCCCCACACACACACACGTCTGTTTCAGGTTTAATAGACACAGAACATAGCACACAAAATAAACAACATCTCATTAAATTGTCTGGAACACAAATTTAGCTTTCCTTGGTTCTAAGACATCAGCAGAGAAAACAGTTACATGAACTGTTTCGAACTTGTCAGCATTAGATCCTAATTGCTTTCTGCAAAATGAAGGTTCAAAAAGACACATTTTCCTTGGAGATTTTCAAGGCCATCCTTTAAATTGCCAAGACAGGAAAAAAAAAAAGAGATATGCTCATCAGCAGCTGACATACATCTTTATTGACAGTGAGGTATCAATGTATGGGTTTCCACACCCGCAGTGCAATTGCTTTCACTGTCAAGCTGCAACGGTTCTTCATCGCCATTAATGATTTTATCACCGATGCGATAACGAAGAAAGCCACGACTCGCATTCAGCTACCGACATGCTGCGCCGAGTCACGACTGTCTTCAGTATCCAGACTTATTTAGAAAGAGACGCCTAATCATACCTGTAGCTGTCCATTCATTGAACTCAGATCTTCGGCCTTCTTTTCTAAAGACTGGACCCAGACCTTTCTCTTCTGCCTGCACCGGGACGCAGCCGCCCTGTTGCGCTCCAAAAACTTGCGCCTCTTTTCGTCGGGGTCTTCACTTATGGCTCTTCTGCGCCTGCCGCCAGTGCTGGGGGTGTGCTGGGCAGGCTGTGCTGGAGAGGCCTGGCACACACAAAAAAAAAAATAGAAACAGACGACAGCTAGCTACCAGCTAACCCATCACCCAATGGAGAGGATGAAAATTCACGAGCAGTATCTGGTAACACAAGGACAAATGCTGATTTTTTTATTTTAAAAGTCATGCAGGAATAGGCCCTTTTGTGTTTAAAAGGAAAAGCAGGTTACCTAGTATTAAATCATCAAAATCAAATTAATGGATAAAAGATAGCGCCTTTAGAATGAATCTAATTTTATCCAATCAGGGAAAAAGGCCAAATGATGAACAAGCCACACTTTAATAGTCTTAATGCACATGAACCCTGAATTTGAGATGATTAAGTACTGTGTTTCTACAGCCAGCTAACACTATGCTGGACACAGAGCAGCCAGGGCCCCTGGCAGTACTCACTGGAGTCTCTGTTGTGGATGTTGCAGGCTGCTGCAGAGACTGGGGGCATGCTTCCTCTGACTGTGCCCTGGCTGAACTACTGCTCTGCCCATCGCTGGCCTCTCCATTAGTTACCTGAGGGTGCTGCTGTGTCAGTGCAGCTTTTAGCCTCTGATTTGAGAAAAGAAGCAAAACAAAGCAAGTGAAGACACGTGTACTTTTACAGCAACACAGGAAAACACCAGTTTCTCAAAGAAAACAAGACTTTAAATTATGTAACTTAAAGCTTTAAGCAATGTGTATTTTCACCTTTTTCGGCATAAGTTCTGAGCGTCCTATACTGAACAAAATGCAAATAAAACACAAATGTATTCCTGGGAGCACAAGTGGAGATGGTTTATTTTCTAGTCTCCGGAGAATCCTGTGGTATTCAGCAACTTGTCAAGGGAATTTATTTCCTCTCAGGCATCATGTTAGATGTTTTAAATAATCCCACATGCAGTGCATTCAAGATTCTGATATTTCTGAGTGTCTGTGTGTACTGCCAGGGCATGTGCCAAGGGAACAGCTTAGCTACTAGTAATACAAAAAACATGCCATTAATTTGAGACAGGCTATGACAAGAAGTACATTAATTATGTTTTGTCATTTAAACACAAATTATCACATATGCATATAGATGCATACACAAACACACTACCTTATATTTCCCCCACATACACAACCAAGCTTTAAGATATTAACTAGACAAAGTATATATATGTGTGTACTGCGTGTCAAAATAAATGCTTAAACTAAAATTCAGTTATTACGTAACTTTGATCAAGTTTATAGTTCACCCACAAATTGGAATCATCCATTTTTTCAATTCCATTTTTGAAAAACACCATTTCATTTTTCAAAATAAGAACAAATGAATTAATCTTATCTGTAATTTGCCCACCATTGACAACATCATTCCAATTTATGTTTCTCCTTAAACATACTAAAATCAAAAGCAATCGAGAAATAAAACAACTCTTTGAATCTGTAAATTATTATACAAAAAACAGCATGTTATTTCAGCTGCTACCTTGACGTGCTGCAGACTAATCCGTCAGACAAATTTGCTCGCCCAGTAATACCTATCCAGAATTTCCTCTTGCTCAAACAAGATATTATTCTCTTGGAACAAACCGTGAAAAAAAAAATAGAGTAAGATCCATATTTCATATCTGCCACAAAAAACTCATCAGTGTAATAACCCTCCTTCTCATGGGTGTTATTCTACCATCTGCTGCTATATTACTTATCTTTATTTTGCAACTAATTAACAGCATAATCTTCTAAATTCAGCAAGTTAATTATCATTATTGTGGTCTTTGCAGCATCATCAGTCCTTGTAAAGCAGCATCTCTCCACCCCCAGAGAATGTGTGGAAATGAAGGAGGTTGGGAGAGGGCCTGTTTCCTTGGAGCGGGCTCATTAGGTGTTTGCTGATGAGCCTGGTACGCAGGGAGGTAGGTCAGATGAATTCTGCTGAACAAAAGGTTCCATGCCGGGCTTAGCTGACTTAATGTACATTTCTGAACATTTGCCAAGCTGCCCTCTGTCAGCCCTCCACGAAAGCCCCCTACAGCAAACTCTGTTGACTGCCCACTGTGTGCTGTGCTATTTCTCAGTTTGTCATTCTTACGCTGCTGGTGAACCAAAGTTTGTACCAGTCACCAGTCCCCCTCCCCCCACGGCCCCCCCACCTTCTTTCTGTAGTTTACCTGTTAATTTCACAAGAATGTCATGCTGTGAACACTTACGAACTCTGTAACACATGCTTCATCTCCCCTCGACAGATCTCATTTACAGTATTTTATTTTCCTGCCCTTCAATTCTAAATACTGAATGGGAGAAAGTCCTCTTGCAAAATAAGAAAAAAAAATCCCAACATCTGTTTGCACAGGCTGGCATGCTTCACTTTGGAATATTTGCCCTCTAAAATAATTTGTTTTCATGCAAAAGCTACTTAACTAACCCAGTTTGCTGTCTCCTGATCAAAGATAAAATAATTTGCAGACAGTCTGTGCAATCATTAATTTTAATTACAGACTATGCAAGAGATACTACAGGAGCAACAGTGAGCTGTTCCAAATCCAGGGTGCACTGTCCCCTCCTCCAGGCAAGACGGCCCTAACCAATATGTAGGGCATACATATTCATGCTTCTTTTGGGTTTTCCAGTTTTTATAAATGAAGACCAAAGTCTTGTAACCTTGAAATAAGACCGAATAAGATCGTTTTTTTTTATCAAGACAAACAGCTAAATCCTCTGGTTGTATTTTCTAATCTGTCACCATCAGCCAAGAAGAAAGCAGTTTTTCTTAAAAACAGCAGCTTCCTCTCGTGAAAGAAACATGCATACTAAGGACCCAAGCTTCATACTGTACAAACGTTTACTAGAAGTTTTATAGTTTAGACATAATACTAAATACTTGATCTTGAACTATGAGCTGTTGAATTTAAAAAAAAAAAAATCTGCATAACCAAGACAAAATTAAGAGAAATAGACCACATTCTTCAGTTTGTACCAATTCTGCAGAGGCTTAGTGTTCTTATTTTAATTTATCCCACAAAACAAAAAGATTTGATATCTTTTGTAGTAAAACCTGATTAAAAGATGTGTTTTGGAGTGAACCAGTGCATTCTTATCACTCCATAATGCTTTTTTTTACCTTTTTTCCCCAATATGCTGAAGAACCGAGCAACATAAAAGAAAAACTCTTGCCTCAAAGTTCCAAAACAATTTTCTGAAAATAAAATGATATCAAGTAACATATCTCAATAACAATATGGCATTATTTCAAGTTTAGAACATAATTAAGTATACATAATTAAACCAAGAGGGTACATTTTTGGTTTAAAAAAAGCACTAGCCAGGACATGTTTATATAAGCATTCTGCTTTTTACAAGAAACATGTATGAATGTGAATTTGTTCTCAACCTACTATCACGATTATCATAATGATGATGATGATAATACCAGTTACCAGGACATGGCATTTAACATAGCTCCCCCTACTGGTTTGGTAAAGCATAACATTACACTCCGACCATAAACACAAAGTTTAAAACAATCACTCCCAAACAATTGCATCTCAAAGATGGTAAAAATATTTCCTTGTACTACAAATGACAATACTGTTTATATGGCTAATAAAGTGATCTTATCTTATATATATAAATTGTTATAATATAAATTGTCCTTCAACGCTGCACAAGGTTAGTCGAAACCTTTTCACAAATGGATATTAAGGAGAAACATAAAATCTTCATGAGATTATTAACTTTTTTTTTCTAACAACAACTTTAAGTTGTAGTTTTATCTGTAGAATTTTTGCCATAAAAATATGCTTCAATTTTGCAAGAACTACATAAAAAAATCAATACATTGAATTGATCAAATGCTTAAAAAACAGCATTGATACAGTTATTTCTAACAAAATCTTTTGTTTTAACAATATTCTAGATATAGGACTATATCTTTATAAACAAATAAAGAAATACGACCTACAGTTTAAAGAAGAAACTGCAGATTACCATTTTAGCTTCTGACTGCACAGGCTGAGGGGAGGAGGGTCCAGGGATTCCAGGAACACTAGGCACTATGGTGACAGGTCTGACAAGCTGACAGTCAGGGTGCAGGGAAAGACAGCAACAAACAGCAGATTACCGATTCAGACATGGACCGGGCCATGTGGAAAGTCACTTTCTCTGCAATGACACGTTGAGCCATTACATACACAGAACACAATGTAGGAAGCCAATAATCTGAATTTTATCAAGAAAGATTTACACCTGCTTTTCAGATTTCGAGTTCCGAACTGAACCACTTCACCTTGTACATTAATAAACAATGGAACAGCTTACATGCATAGCATATTGATGGAGTTCTGCCAATGGAAAAGGAATCCTGCTGTAGTATGAACAGTGCCACTTTTAATATTTGTACTATCAAATGAGAAATGAAATGCATGTACTGTAAAGCCTGTAAATGGGAGTGCCTTGCAAGCTGATGTTGCTAAACATCTTCTTTGCCAGCCTTTGAAGTGAAATCCCTACAGGCAGGAAGAATAGAAGCCTTTTCCCCACTGTGCCACTATCAGCAGCTAATCATCTGCTGCTCAATGTTCCACTCCAGCAGTCAAACAAGCAGACACTGGATCACCATCGCTTCCTACACCTTAACCAGTTTGCAATACAAGCGATGATTTCTAAAATCATGCATATTAAAAAAACTCAAATGTGCTATATTCTGTGACGTACAATGTTGCTGGCTAGCATTGTTTTGCTCAATAATGTCACGTTTGTGGTGACATACTGAATCCAGGTGTTTTACGTGGATTTCCCTGAAACTTTAAATGCACAAAATCGTAAGGTCAGAATAACAGCTTAGAATAAGAGTTCTAACTCTAGAATGAAAAAATGAGTAACTGGGTACTGGTTAATCAGAAAAATATATTCAACAACATGATTTGTTCATTTGTTCCCAGCATTAACACTTCTATGTGCACAGAGGAAGTCTTCACAACTAGTGACCATGATGGTACTCGCTGCACCCATCAGCTACATTGCTGAAATGTTTCAACACCGTAAGCATTAGTTGAGTGGAGGTTTTGGTGTTCAACAAAGAGATGCTGGCTTGAGCACTGCTTAAAGAATAGGATATTTAATAAATAATATATTGATATAAGCCAGAGAACTATAAGTCCCACACTGAAAAGCCCACAAAACACACACTCATGCATAAATAATGGTTAATAATAAATTGATAAAAGGAAGAAATTGAGGTTAGTTTTTTTATTAAAATACAGCTGCAAACACAAATCTGGAATTTTCAGAAAATAAGGTAAAGCAATTATTTTTATATTTAATGAGATATATAAAAATTAGCAAAGCAGTGCAACAAAAAACAGAAGCACATTAAATTAACGGCAAAGTATACATGCTTTAATACCGCATTCACTAAACTGTTATTTCTAGTACTTTAAAGGAAATGTTGCCTTGATCTTGACTTTGTTCTAATATAAAAATGTACAAGTTTAGGCAATGTTTTTAGATCACAGCTTTGTTGACTGGCAACACCTAAATACTGTATGCAACAAATTCACAAAGTTAACAGGAAAATCTTTGTAAAAGGTACATTCTGTTGAAAAGACATGACAGAGGTAAATTCCTTATTCTGATTAATACCTACTCAACAGGTGGTCTACTGTGAAAGACACAGGCTTGGAGCAAGTGTGGTCACTGTTGAAAGCAATATAAGCTAAACATGTATGACATACTGTACAACTTTGCATCACACTGCAGATATTGTCTTGTAGGATTGTGTCTCATTCTTCTAGTTAATGGACAAACATACTGTATACATATTGCCTGGTTTCTGAGTCCTAAATGCCATGTCATGCCAATTCATCCCAAAAATGTTGAATGTGGTTCAAGCCGGAAGAGTCATCCAGCTCTATCAGCTTAACCATCACATAAGGAAGCTGCTATTACATGAGGAGCTTGAGTACAGTACATCCATGGTCCAGTCAGAATCAGGTTGAACTTGCTGTGAGGACCAAAATCTTGAATCAATGTAGTGCTGTGTAGACAGGCAGCAATAACGAGTAGGAATTAAGAGACTCCTGTCCACACCATCACACTTGTACCTTCTCATTATTGGGTATGTGGTAGACAACGATTAGTGTATCATTCTGTACATCTGTGCCACACTTGCAGTCATTTGTCAGGGTTGTCTACACAAAAGTTAAACTCACTGCTAAATAGGATTTGGCTCCACTGCTGGCAAGTAATCCTGAGGTGTTGCTCACACTATCTTGTTCTGTTACGTTGATGAACACTGATGGACTAGTATGTCCATCTGGCCTCCAAACGATGACCACTAAGATATTTCCTCAAAGCTCAACTATTGATGCCTGATTTGTTGCAACCAAGTAATTTTCTGAGTAGTAAAGGCAGTGTAAGAACAATTACAGTGATAGAACATGATGGCATTGTTTTGATGAGCGGGTTGCCTTTGGTTTTTTACTCTTGATTTTCAGTATGCATGACATTTAACAGGTTGAAAACTAAAGCATCTCAGATCTAAAAAAATCTCAAAGACAGGTCTTTTCATTAAGTGTTTCACATACTCATATTCTACAATTGTATTTTCTTGCTTTTTAAGACACATCTAACTTTCACTAAAGTGTTGAGAATAAGTTTGTTGGCCTAGGTTGACCTGTATTATTGTATATTTTAGGCAGGAAAATTTATTAGATCTTTATGAAAATCGTCCTGGTTTCCTCCTGGTTATCCTCCCATGAAAACCACTTCCATTCAGTCTTTTCCTGACACTTGAAGCATGAACACTGACATTAACTGCAGTGAGAAAAGTCAGCAGACTCTTCGATACTGTTCTGGGGTTCTTTGTGACTTCCTGAATGACTTTTACACTTGGGGAGATCTTTGCAGAACCTGTTCAGTCACTGTGGTCCTGAATATTTGCCATTGTAGACTATTTAAGACAAGAAATATGGAGCCTCCCAAACTCTATCAAGCAATTGGGTAGGCTATTTAATGGTTTGTCCCCACTTCTTCAGTGCTCCAACACTGAGCTAAGCTTTTGGTGCTAGCTTCGCAGTACAGTGGCGTTCACTTTTGATTCACAAGCACAAATCAGCAGGCCCTCATGGTGTTTTTTCTCAGCTCCTTTTTTCTTCAATCTTGTTTCCATTTTTTTCCATTCACTATCTCCACTTAAACTACGGTTCACCAGCCTTCGCTGCCGTTTCCAGACAGTCTCTTTCCACAGAGAGCTTCCATCTAAATTTGGACAACTTCATTCCCACCAGCCTCTCCACTGCATTAAGTTAGCCTTTTTCCTGCTCAGTAATAATTCGGACAGCTCCTTTTCCAATCAGCCTGCATTATTTACTTCATCGGCTCATTAAAGCCTGTGAAACAGCGTCTGGAGAAGGTCCTCAGCTTCTTATTCGCCATGGTCCAGAAACCTCAGGGATCACAGCATAAAATATGCAGAATTTATTTTAACCCTGATTTATTATTGGTGCATTTTCAGGGCTTTTCTTTACATATGGTTTACATTTTAGTATATTTTCTAAATTATTTTTTTTTCAAAATCACAAAAGCGTATAAAACACAACACCACCCATCAAGAGCAATTTGCCAACCCATATACCAATTGTCCAACCCCTATACTGTACGACACCACTGATTTTCATGTCTTTTAAATTTATTTAAAGGTATAATGCACAAAATATGTTGGTTACAGTTTCATTACTTTTTACATTTTACTCAGATTTCTTACTTATTTGTCTCATTTTTGTGTACATTACTCCACTGTCATAGATCTGTGTAAATCCATAAAGTTTTGTGTCATGTTGCTTACACTCATGTATTCAAACAATGTTAAAAATGCACATTGCATGCAATCACTGTTTGGTACATGTGTTTTTAACAATATTTTCTATTAGATATTTTACTTTTATATTATATATTGTACAAATATTTAAATGTTTATTAAATATACTGTAAATTAAATATTTTACAGCTCATGTGTACTTTTACTTCTGTTTTGTCCCATTTTTAAGAATAAGCCATGCCTGTTGTCTGGACTAGCTACCGCTTTACTGACTTTGTCTATTTTGTGGATAAAGTCCCGCAACAGTTATGTTTTGTGAATTTTTTGATGTTATCGAGTTCTGTTATTGGTAAGTTAGGTGCACACATAAATATATGATAGCTGGACCAGAGTTTTCTATTTCGAAAAGTAATTAACCCAGTGATTATTTCCGTCACAAGTCATCGCAAAATCTAAAATGTTTGAACCTAACTGCAGATAAAGTTTATGATCAGAAGTACTTTTCTGTCCTGACTCCACCTGCAGTTTTTGTGGTCTCGATGTTTAAACGTTTACTCACTAGAGCTCACGGGATCATGTGACACATTCCTGTGCACTGATTGGATATTGCCTGAAACGTTTAACGGGAAAGGATGCTGTCTACACTGACAGACTGTGTTGCCAGCGGGTTGCTAGAGCATTGGTAGGTTGCTAAGGGTGTTATATGGAGCAATCTAAGAGGGATGTGGTCACAGGAGATAAAGGCCAGTAGCAGATTGTCCGACATAATAAGGCAAATGCATTTTGATTAATTGAACACTTTTTATCTTTAAGGAGAAAGAAGTATAGAATTCCGAAACTTACTGGGATTGCTGTGGGAATATGTACACTCGGATTCGTAATGGAGGCAGGAATCGCCACAGGCATTGTTTGTCCATTAGGGAGCTGTAAAAGCACAGGGAAGGAGCCAGAAACAGGTCTGAAAGCAAAAGAGAAAGAAAAAAAAAAGAGAAGATTCCAACACACATCTATTACTCAGATATAACCTATAAAATATCATAGGTATTTTTTAAGCACCCAAGAAATCTGTTACCATGGTTTACAGACTCAGTATACACATAATAACACATTAGATCATAAACATGTATTCTGAGTGTGAATATTGCACAATCACCTAAAAATAACATTGTATTCCAAGTACTGTTTTTCATAACCACTACTTCACAGCCACTGTAACAAACACAACTGGTAACGCTGCAAATCATGCTAATCTACGATAACTAAGACATCAATGAATATACTCTTAGTAAAACATTGAAAACTAATCAAATTTCTGCATATACAGAAAATATACAGATTAAATAAGTAATATTTTCACATTACTTACACTATTGGCCTATTAGAGGATGGGACTTGAGTAATGACAGAGCTAGATGTTGGAGATGGTAGGGCTTGCTGTATTACAACGTTCGCATCTGAGCTTGCAAGTAGTACATTGGGGACTTGAAGAGATGCGGGACGAACTATAGTAGATGTTGGATGTGAAGTCGGCTGCAATGCAACATCCTGAAAAAAAATCCAAATTGAACCTTAGCTGCATTAGAAATTGCACGGAATGTAATTAAAAATACGTGAAATAATGTTAGAACCCACATGTTGACAAATGAAACTGGAATATACAGTTCTTGAATCACACATTCTTAATTTGTAATAAATTATGGGCTAACCCACCTCAAATATACATACCATTTCTCAATTAGGCACTTTAACACACTTAGCCATGGCCAGTAACAGACAATTTGTAAGACTGTTAGAGACAATACACTGAGCCTCAAACAGTGGGTGTACCCAGTTGTTACACCAGGATGAATGGCCTGGGTGACACACAGGCAGCTGTTCTGACTGTTCGCCACTGTTCACCTCCCAATAAATACAAACTAAGACAATAAAGCTATTTTAAAGGTTTGTTTAGTAAGCATATGTTTATATTGTATAAAATCCATCCATCCATTTTCTAACTGCTTCATCAAATTCAGGGTTGTGGGAGCCTATCCCAGCAAGCAACAGGCACAAGGCAGGGTACACCCTGGATGGGACACAAACACAGACGCACATACACTCACAACACCGCCAAATTTCCCAGATGCGAACTGCCCTACCAGTATGTGTTTGGACTGGGAGAGGAAACCAGAGAATCCAGAGGAAAGCCACAAGAACATGGGAAGAACATACAAACACCCCTGGATTTAAACCTAGGGCCCTAGCGCTGCAAGGCTAACCACAGTGCTACCCGACATTGTATAAAACCTTAAATAACTAAAATAATAATCGAAAACTCTCAACAAGGAAATAATATTTGCAATGTTATTTGCAAGACTTTATATTAAACAGGATTTAAAAATCTGACAGAGTGAAGGACAGAAGAATGGAATGAATATAACATGAAGGTTCATATGCTAAACATTAACAGACATTTAACTTAAACATAACTTATAATACAGCTGTACAAACATTTTGCGTAAAATAAATATATTCGCTTCTCTTTTGGGGTTCAATCCTCTGGCTGAGAGTGGACCCCGGAATGCAACCCCTCCTTATTTACACGTACATTCAAAACAACTTTCCCTATAAAAATAACATTTTTTTCATTACACATCATGTTTCAAGAATGTATCTGCCCCACAAATCAAGAACTACCTATAATTTCTTAAATTTACACACCCCACATGCCTCCCCAGTTTGCTTCAATTTTATTTTTCAAATGTTACATAATTAAGACTATTTTACAGCTCTTTTTTCTGTTCACTTAGTCTTTAGTACCGGTACAACAAAATGTTAGTACGGCACTCTCACTTTATGAAGGCAAATGGCACAGATGCAGTTATTGGTAAGTACGTCTGTCAAACTGAAGCGAACAGAAACAGAGGGCAAATAGCAAAACCACTACCACAATTACTGCAAACTTATAACGAGTCTCCAGAAAAGCAGTAACATTGCAGTTTATAGCTGTTTCCATCAGCAAAATCAGCCCTGTTGAAATTCTGTGCACATATTCTTATGGATGATGGGGCTGGAGGGGAATTTATGCCGGTTTTCCTTGGAGATACAGATTTATTTGTGATGTGATGTGGAATATATTTTAACATGCCGACAGTAAAATAAACCATAAACATCAATGCAAACATTGCTGGCAGCAGACTTGTTCCGTACAGAACACGATTGTGCTCCTTTCAATATGAGAAAGGTTATGGTTCACAAAAGAAAGAAAACTTTGCCAGAACAACGTACAAGGTACATCAAAACACTTAAATTTGTTTTATCTCTGGATATAAAAGGGTAGAGATTAAAAAAAAAAAACACTAAAGCAAAGAGCCTCTAATACCTTCCTCTTTTTATGTGTGCCTAATTTCTACAGCAATACATCACTTACATCTGTGCCAGCACAACAAGGCAATTGTCAATTAATATTAATTACACTACTGAAAAAAGTTCAACACAGAAAAAATGCATTGATTGTTCCCAAAAAACAGAATAATCTGAGCCTTTCTTTGGTTCCATCTCAGCACATGTAATAGAAAGATTTGGAACTACTCCAATCTACAATGGATTTTCTGTAGAATTTACCTTGTCGTCACTTGTAGTAGATTCTGGGTGAGGCAAAGGACTGTCTTGGTGAGTGGTTTCCACAGCTGATGGCTCTTCAGTTTTATTTCTTACAATGGGAGTTGCGAGTGAAGACAAATCTAAGGGTAGCTGAAATATGGAGGCATCGTGAACCGACAAAAACAATCTTAAAAAGTAAACGAGAAACCAAAAAAAAAACTTTAGTGGCAACAGTCTCAACAATTCCTAGGTGGCAAATTTCTATTAATAACAGTATTGTTTAAGAACAGTATGGCAACTAATTTTGCACTAGTCCTTCAAAATAATGTAAAAAATAAATTACATTTTATGTTTGTTTGTGCACGTGGAAACTAAATGGACCTGCATTCTAAACAGAGAACAGGAGGCACCTCTTTACCCCAAGTGTTGTGGGAGTATGGAACAAGCCGACCAGACATGTTGTTGAAGCCGATACCCTGGCTTCTTTCAAGAAACGACTGGATTTGATCATTCAATCAATTAGCTACTAAATACCAAATGGACTAGAGGTGCCAAATGACTTCCTCTCGATTGTAACCATTCTTAGCATCTTAATAAACGTTACCTTTTTGATGTCTTCTTCTGTTGCTTTTTTGAAGTCATTTTCAAAGGGACTGGCCAATTCATTAAATAGTCCCACTTCTTCACAATTCTTCAAAAAACGGGTTGGTGTTGGAGTTTGGTCTGAAACAATATATAACCAAAGTGTCTTTCAGTTGATTCAACAACAGCTACCTATTAATGAGAAAGATTTACAATGTGAGCTCTTTTTATCAGTAGAGGAACAATAACAAAATGCAAATCTATATTATTTTAGGTGGGTAGCTGCGTCAGCATGCGTAGCCTACAAAGGAACAAGTAATGGGTTTATTCCATGCTGAAAAAAAGAAGAAAGAGAACACAACGTTTCGGCTGTGGAGCCTTCTTCAGGTGTCAGGTAATATATTATTTTATGTTGAATAGCACAAATACACACACAAATCACAACTTAAAAGTTATGGCTTTGCTGCCTATGTTCTCCCATATTGAAAATATAAAATAGCAAAAGATGGTGATAACTTATAGGTAAGACCAAATGATGCACTATGAAATGCATTACAGCATAGCCAACTGTAGGTTTTCAATGGCACTTTTCCTACTATTTAGATATATTTAAAATTATATAATGGGCTTTTCTAGAATAAATTTACAACAACCATATATCTCCACAATGTCTGGAACTGTTATGAGTCAGGCTGGGGTTTTAAGATTTCCTTTCCACTGAAAGAAATGAACACGAACGATTTGATTACACGATTGCCAAGACAAATTCCATTGCAGTCTAACTGCAAGGCATGACAGACAAGATACTCCAAACAGCCACTTCTATGACTGACTGATCACACCGTATCAACAGCTGATGAGTATTTCCAACGTGGCCAGAAGACAGGCTGAGAGCACATTTTTCATAACTCACAAAACAGAAACAGCCCCACTATATTTGTCAGTGAAAAAAAACTAACTTTCATCGGTCTCACTCTGCTGCAGTCACTAAATACGTCAAAGTCACCCTTTATCTTCTGGTATCTAATAAAAGCTCAGCAATTTGCAGTTTTTCTCCTTCAGCTTTTAAATGTTGGTTTTAGGTATATGTGCAACACAAAAAGGAAGACAACGCATGATTACTCTATTAATTGTTCCTCTATTGATAGATCAATGAAGTTCAACATGTATCTCTTCCGTTACGTCAATACAAGCAAATTCTATTGATAACATTTTTCATACCTGAATTGACATTTTTGTCAATTTCCTACACTTTAGATTCTCTTTCCCTTGGTAAATACTCCCCACTTCCTGGGATCTGCAGTTTGATACTCACCAGCAACGATGACACTGTCATTACGCGCTGGACCAAACTTTAGTGTCATCTCATGTTTGTGTTTGTGGACAGCCAAATGGTCTTCATTAGTAAAACGCTACAAAAAATACAACATTACATTAAAAAAGGTATTTAGGATAATGAATCTCTAAATGATTCAGCCAACAATTTCATGAACTGAAATATTTAGGCGGGTTGTGTAATTTCTAATTCCTGGTTTTGCAATGTTACTGTCTTAAGGTTAAGTAAAACAGGCAACCAATAAAATATTATATCCAACTTTTATTTTTAAAAAGAGTTTCAGAACTGCCACCCATACATACCTGACCGCATCCAGGAGCAGTGCATACAAAGGGTTTGTCATCACTCATATTCAGTAGATACTTTTATCTCCTAGATGAGAAAGATACCACACTTTCAAGACCTACTGTCACGCGTAATCACATCATGGACCACTGCAAAAGGCGACAAACCATTTCTTAAATAACGTTTAGTCTCGATTTCAACACAAGCATGCAAGAAAAAAAAACCACAATGAAAATATGACTACGTATTGAAAACGTCTGTAAACTTTAAGCCCGGGAGATAACACAGAACACATTACAAATACTTCAGGTGACAAATCGTTGGCGATTCTAGGAAAGTGTTTTCTGCTTTCCTCCTGAAGTACTCACACACACAGCTCAGCATTCTGGAGTGACTGACACGCCAACAAGCCTTGTGCATCATAGAAAAGGTCTCTAGCTCATTGGACAAATAAGCATAAAACTCGTTTTAAAACTAACATAAACATGCATGGAAGCGTTATACAGCTGGCTTGGTTGGTCTCTCGTTTATTTTCAAATTTAACCGTGCCGAGCATCCTATTCAGTTGCATTAAAAATTAACGCCGGTCGAAAACAAGGTATTGATACCCTTTCTGTCAAGTAATCGACTCCCATTCAGTGTTAGTGTCGTGTGAGGCACTCTTAAATAACTTAATCGTAGTATTTCTCAGGGCTAACCTTCTCTAAGTAAAGCGACAGTGATGTTCTTCGGCGAACAGGGAACAAAAAGAACAACTCTGGATTGCTGTGTTGTAAAACAGCTTCTTTTTTTTTTACAATACCTGCATGTAAAAGATGCTACCTGTGCCCTACCATAACAGCAGAAGTTCTAGATATTCTATACAGAGGACTTAGATGTGTAAACAATAATGCGGAGGCTGCATTACGAAGACTGCAAAAATGCACATATACACACTATGTTAATGAATTAAAATCACATTTAGGGTGCCTGGCGAACATTACTGTCAAGATGCGGTTTCTTGTTTACAGTCCATCATCATTATAATACCATCCCAGTCTCTTGTCTTGGGTTGGGTATACCCCCGTCGCCATATTATTATTATTACTACTGTCACTGCAGTATAAAAGCATTCATCGCCCGTTGACAAAATAAGTAGAGACTGCTACTCTAAACTGCTTTCCAGCAGCAGGCTACCTTAACCGGTGTGGCAGTCGTTGTTTACCACGGCTGTCACGGTTTATACGGCCTGTTTACACACTTACCCACGGGCTCAACCTTTCTCACGGCCAAATCCCACGGGCTGCCGCCAGATCTCGCGACCGCTGCTCCAGCGCGGACACTTCCGCAAGCGTCACGAACGTGACGTGGCGTGCGCAGAACGGGCTGAGTGGTCGTACACGCGTGCTTTAAGGGCATTTTGATTCGAGAGGGTGGGGCAGAGGGTTGACTAGCTTTGATTCTTCTTTGTGCCGGTTAAATAAGACAAACTTTAAATTTTCACCTCGTTCTTTACACGGAATTGGAAAAGAAAAACTGAAGTTACATATAGAAAGAACACTGCTTCGTCTCTTAATATGCATTTCCAGTGTTAACATTTTGGATATTCATCGTTGTGAATGTATTTAGTATTAAATATGAATGAGACAAAACTACTTTTTACATTTACATATTTTAAACATGTTGGTGTACACAATACGTGACATAAAGGCTTTTACTTTCAGGTGAGTCCTCAATGATTTAATATAGACACGCATACTTTGCTAACGAGATGAAAACATACTCCAGTTTTATTTTTTGCAGGAGAAAAAACATTTTACTCAAATGAGGCCAACATGTGCCACGTGTTTTCAGCTTCTAGTACTGATGTCAAAAACGTTCCATCCAAAATCCGAAGCTTCCAGCTTCTTTCAGGTACAGGTAGGAGACTAACCAGCCAGCAGCACACAAACCATCACCCATTGTTCTTCAGTGTGTGCTTGGCAACCTGTACTTTAAAAAAGGAACAGAACACTTTTTTTCAGGGGTTAACCGACTCAAAATCTGGAAGACATCAGTCAAGAGTGCCAGTTTCTTTAACTTGGACTGCACATGTCAGAGTTTCCTCCATGTCAGACACTCTTCCAATATTCACCAATGAAATCCATTTCAGTCTTAAATACCCTAGAGGAGGGAAGAGCCATAGGATCATCTAACTTTTCTTCCACCTCTGGTTTAAATTACTTTGTGTAAATCTGTCCAAGAACAGAAAATTTATAAGGACTTAACGTGTTGCTAACTGAAAAGCACCTTTTAATTCTACAGGAATTCCTCAAAAGATTGGATTTGCCCATACCTGCCTTATAACAAAGACAATGTTGCTATAAAAATACTCTGATATAATATACTGCAACGGTGTTCAAAGACGATGCTTTCCGATTTTAATCCTCACATTGCATGTTTTCCATAAAATAGCATGTATCTACCTGAAGGATGCTATGCAGATCATATGCTTCAAGAACATTGAATGAATACACAATACTGTCTATAATTCTAATGTAAAATTTAGTCTTCACTGTAGGCCATTAGTATTTCAGGTGGGTAGCTGCGTCAGCATGCGTAGGCTGCAAAGGAACAAGTAATAGGTTTATTCCATGCTGAAAAAAAGAAGAAAGAGAACAACGTTTCGGCCGTGGAGCCTTCTTCACACCTGAAGAAGGCTCCACGGCCGAAACGTTGTGTTCTCTTTCTTCTTTTTTTCAGCATGGAATAAACCTATTACTTGTTCAGTAATATTTCAGTCAAGCTTTTCCCCTCATTGCACACGTACGACACATAATAATGTAAGTTCTTAATGAAAAGTATTCCCATATCATCACATTAATGCTGAACAAATGTTCCTAAAAGCTTTGAGTAATTTCGAAAAGCAGTGTATAATTTAATCATATCCACTTTGTAATGGTATTGAGATTTTCGGCTGTGAATTTGTGACGGCTCAACACTATCCTGATTATACTGAGAAGCAGCATCCAACTTACATTCATACTCATTTATCCAGCTAGAATTTTACCGGAGCAATCTAAAGTGCTTTGCGCAAGGATACAGCAGCTTCCACTGGGTATTTAAACCAGTAACCTAATAGTTCAAGTTCAGAACCTTAATCCCTGCATTATGCTTTGTCAAATAATTAAAGCAGTGACCACACTTTGAGGTGCAACACAACTAGGCCTATTCTTGCTTCTAGTTACAGATGAGAAGAGACCATTTTTCACAATTCTTACCCATTTGATTTCTAACTGATCCAATGACTATTTAACCAGGTAAAGAATCTGGGAGACCTAATCATCATGCTACTGCAGTTAAACCACTTTAATTCATATAGACTCATAGATGTGATCTGTATGGAAAGTGGGACATCTGCAGATCATGAACCTTGTACCAGTTTCTGCATGACCTTTTCAAATATACCTGTTAAATTTACCTGTTAAAAATGGGAAATGTCACTTCAAAAAAGGGAGAAATATGAATACAATAAAAGTGTGTTACATGAAAAAAAAAACTAAAAATGTGTTTAATAATAATAATTGCTTACACTTATATAGCGCTTATTCTGGACACCCCACTCAAAGCGCTTTACAGGTAATGGGGACTCCCTTCCACCACCACCAATGCGATGGCAGCCATAGTGCGCCAGAACGCTCACCACACATCAGCTATTAGTGGGGAGGAGAGCAGAGTAATGTAGCTAATTCATAGAGTTTAGAGAGTTTAAGGATTCAGAGATTCCCATTGTAAAACGCATCTGCTTTTTTGCACGTTTGTAAAGACAAAGTAGTTTAATTACCTCAAACAGAGCTGGAAACACGTCATCTGGCTCCAAATTTGTAATTCCAATAAAATGAAACCTGCCATTTTGATCCCAAATTTTGCACTGATATTTTTATTCATCTAAGTGACAAAGCACTTTTTCTTGCTTAATGCTATTGCAAAAAAAGTCTACATGATACAAAAGGTGCTTTTAAACTTTATCCTTCAATTGAGTGTATTAAGTGTTCAATAAGAAACATCTTTTGCTTTCAATGTACTGAAATGCACAAATATTTTGATAACGAGATTTTAAAACAAACCTTGATTCCCAGAACACAAAACGGAACTGTGATTTGAGACTTTAAAAAGCCAATACGTGTATTTTAATTCTGTCATTGGTTACATTCTTACAATGTTTTTATTTTTGTAGTTTGACAGTGTTCCAACAAAATCCTGAAAAATGTACACTTTCATGACACCAACACAGAACAGTTTTAGTAACCACTGTAAAACACGTAGTTACATCTAATGTAGAATTAACATCCGAAGCAGTTTTTTTTTACATGGCAAACAAGATCAAGAAAGCAACCATCAAACAGAACAGACCCATGGCTTCAGAGAGGGCAAATCCCAGAATAGCATAGGAGAACAACTGTTGCTTTAGGGAAGGATTCCTGCAGGGGCAAAGAAATGAAAGACTGCAATTAGTCTTCTGTAAAAACAAGTGCTACAGATTACAGTTGTTCAGTACCAATTTAACATGAATTTACAGTGAACCGACCTACCTAATTAACACTTTCTTACCTTTCTTATTCCCCAGTGGATAAAGAAGGACTTCGGAATGAGTTTAACACAAAAATCTTAAGTGTGAAATCACAAAAAAAATCATTGTTTTGCAATGGATGAAACTTTTTCCAAAAAAAAATTGTAGCTAGAAAAAGCAGTTCTGTGAACTCTCAGAAACACTCAATTCTGAACACACCTACTTGCGTCCCTGATGAAAATCTTAACAGATCTACAGATGAATCCAAACTGTATGACCATCTGAGGCTACACTGACGCTGCCTACCTCTTGTAAGAGCACCTCTGCCCTGTGCTCCAAAATGACGATGTTTCTCACCTGGCATAGCCGATGATAAGACTGCCAAACACTGTCCCGATTCCGGCACCAGATCCAGCCACTCCTACTGTGGCGGCACCAGCACCAATGAACTTGGCAGCTGTGTCAATGTCCCTGCTGACGGCACTGGTCTGGAACCCCCTGAGCGCCAAGACAGAGTTCTGTGGCCCGCTCACAGCTGCAGCCTTGCCCTGGAAAAGTTTTAATTCTTTGTAGAAAAAGTAGAAGGGAAAGAAAAACACTTCTATCTGGATGCAGCTTATTTTAATCATTTGGGAAAGTACTTTAGGAATGTAACAGGAGGCCACTGGGCCCATAATGTCTGTTTGGTAATTTCCTCATTGATCCAAGGATCTCCTCCAGCTGTTTTGTGAAGGAAGCCAGAGTACCGGCATCAGCCGGGTAACTTGTTCCACCCTCCCACAACTCTTTGGGTAAAGAGTCACCTCTGTTCTCACTTTTAAAGGTCACAGCACAGACGTTCAGAGGAATTTTCATGTTAAAGCACATCGGCCACTAAGGAATGTAGGTCTGCACACTAAACAAAATCCAATAAATGGAATTTGATCCCAATATTCTACCAATCTGAAATGACATTTTCAAGGACTGAAGCACTACTCTTTAGACTCACCTCTCCTGTTCTGACCTCTGGCCGGGACAGCACTGATGCAGAGAGAGGTCTGTACAGAGCCCGAGATCCAGCACGGACCTGCACCCAAAACAAACCCCACATCAACCAGGGAACACACCTCATCAGCCCACACCTTAAGGGAAGCTGACTTCATTTACATCATCTTACTTCACTGTAGCTATTTAAGATAAAACAAAATGCACCTACAGAAAACATACAGTTAAGAGCAAGTATTAGCATGATCATAAAATAATGTGCCCGTGCAAAGTCCACCACATACCCAAAACGTGGATTATGGGAGACGAACAACAATTTGTAAATACTTTCTGAGCTTCACTGAGAAGAAAGGAAGAGATACAGCGTCAATATATTGAGCTCTCTGAAATTATTAAACGTCTGTGGCGTTTAAATCTTGAACAATAATCAATTTCAATTCCAGGTAGATATTTAGTTTTTCAGTACCAAAGGTAATTCCAGTACTTTAATCATGCTTGTTGTGCTACGTTTCGGCCTCCTTTACTTGTGTCCTGAGTTAGAGGACATATCTCAGCTGCAGAGCAAGGCAGTAAGGCCCAAGCCCTGAGCACAGCCTAAGTCATTCAAAAAATAAATCGCTGTCATTTTCAAACTAAAAATTCCAAATGCACCATTATTTACTTGGTTCACCCCTTACCGAGGTTTGAATTATACTGTGCAATTAGAAAAATAGCACGACTTTGACTAAAAAGGCCGGATTTTTTTCAGCTTTTATATCTAGATATGAGTTCACTTTAATATTGATAACTGCCCTTTTGTAACCATTGAACAGTAAGTCGTTTGTATTTATTTTTTTCCCCATTTCATTCTAAAAACTGAAGGGACCCGTGTGAACAGAAAACGTTTAGAAAAAAAAATAGGAAAAACTCAAGTTCAAGACTAGGCCCGCAATGAAATAAGAATAAAAGACCAGAAAATGTGGTTTTTGAAAATCAGATGTGGTACAGAAACTCACCAGAGCAGGCGTGGAAACGAATTTAGCACAAGCGTACATTCTGTCTGGATTTATTGGTTGCTGAGTTCGGAATTGATCATAAACCCGGGTCTGTCTCTGTGAAGAACAAGGGAGAGTTAAGGTCAATGGAAATTCTGCTCCTAAAGTCTGCAACAGCAACACCGAAACGAAGATCACGCATGCACAGATAATGAAAACTCATGAAACCCAGAACCACTACTTAATTACAAAGATCCCCAGGACAGGATGAGATGGGATTGTAAATGTTCTATTCCTTCGCCTTTTTCTTGCTTCCCCTTCACTTACCGGCTACAGAGGTCGAACCGATTAGAAACCACTGCGCATGCGTCTGCTTCTTTCCCTGCAAACTCCCGGATGGCGGCTGTCAAGGTCACTTCGCTGCAACTTTATTGAAAAACAGAAGAACTGACAAGTTACTGTTGCACTTGATTGGAACCAGCCGAGGGTTACAGTACGTTGCGTTTGTGAAAATAAACGTCCGCAATGACTACAGAGGTAAACCCAAAATCAAAAGTAATTAATCGAAGACGTGCAATTTTCTTTGGGGATGGAAAACTGCACGGAACTAATTGATTCTGTATAAATCAACGTTTAAACATTTATTTTTAAATTTAAGGTGTCTATATATATATAACATACTTGTACAGTCCTTAAATTAAAACAGTGACATTCAGAAATAGAAAGACTCCACTACTGTTGAAAGCTGAAATCTATATACTTGGCCTTTGGGCACATTCCCTGTCCTCTCAATGCAGTTTAATTTGCTCTAATATCATTACTAATTAGCCAACAGCCATATCACCCTTCAGCTCTCAACTGGCTACCCCCTGAAGCTAAGTAGGGTTGAGCCTGGTTAGTACCTGGATGAGAGACCTCCTGTGAAGCAATCATTGCTGCTGGAAGAGGTGTTAGTGTTACCATTGGGGGGCGCCCACCCTGCAGTCTTTGTGGGTCCTAATGTCCTAGTATAGTGGTGGGGACACTATACTGTAGTGGGTGCTGTCTTCAGATGAGACATTAAACTGAGGTCCTGACACTCAGTGGTCATTAAAGATCCCCCATATGCAGCACTGTACATATAATGTGAAAAACTGACATGAAAGATGTTACATTTTAAGTCCATTGAACAATAAGTTCTATTTAAATAAGATCATTGATTAAAACTACAAAGGAGGGAATCTTATAAAATACAAGTGATGAGGGATACCATAAAATACCTAGAAAGTGCATGCATACTAAAACAAGACACCTATACAGTTGCGTAATCAACTTGGATTGACAAATAACCGTCATTTCTGGTTCTAGATTAATTTAATTAGTGCAAACATCGTATAGTGTTATACGTCTACCTATCCATTTTCTACCCCCTTCTTCCAGTTCAGGGTCATTAGGGCAAGGCAGGATATACCCTGGATGGGACCCCACTCCATCACATTTGTGGACATACGGTACAGGCACAAACTCACACACCAGGGTCCATTTTTCCAAAGTTCATTTAACTTACCAGTGTGTTTTGATACTGTGGAAGGAAATCCATGCGAACCTGGGAAGAACATACAAACTCCACACATATAGCATCCCAGGAACTGAACCAGGGCCTCAGCGCTATGGGACAGCAATGTTAACCACTGTACCATCATGCCTCCCACTGTGTTCTGTAAAGAGAGCATAATGGTAGAATATTTTTAAACAAAACCTTCTATGAATTGCATTCCACAAGCCTGAATCAGAAGAACCAGTTAGAAAATTGATGGATATACTGTATCACACTATGCTATGTTTGCACTAATTAAATTAATCATGAACCAGAAAAGAAGGTTTCTATTCTATCTAATTGCATCTCTGACATAAAAACTTGGATGACTCAAAATTTCCTTTATCTTAATTGTGACAAGACTGAAGTCATGCTTATTGGCACCCCCCATCAACTTCGTAAAGCCAGTCCTGTAACCCTATATGTAGATGGTTCTGTACTAGAGCTTCAGTCTAAATTGAAAAACCTTAGGGTGATATTCGATTCTGGCTTAACATTCGACCCACATGTGCAGCATATTGTCAAAACATCTTTTCTTCACCTCAGAACTATCGCTAGACTGTGCCCTATGCTATCACAAACTGTGGCTGAAAAGCTGATCAACACATTTGTGTTCTCTAGAATTGACTACTGTAATGCTCTACTCGCAGGGGTATCTAAATCTACTTTGAACAAACTGGAGTATGTCCAAATTTCAGCAGCCAGAATCCTGACCAGGTCTAGTGCAAGTGATCACATTACTCCTATCCTGGAGTCCTTGCACTGGCTTCCATCGAATTCCATGTGGAGTTTAAAATCCTCATGCTCACCTACAGTATAAGGCTCTCCATGGCTTGGCACCTCAGTACCTGTCTGAACTATTATACTCCCCACCTCGCAACCTTCGCTCTTCTAATTCTGCTCTCCTTACTGTCCCCCAAGCCCCTCTACATTGTATGGGTGACAGGGCCTTCTCCTGTTATGCCCCCAAGCTCTGGATCTCTCTGCGCAAGGATATCAGAGAGTCACCTTCTCTAAACTCCTTCAAATCCAGACTCAAAACCTTCTTCTTCAGAAAAGCCTTTACTTAACTGGTTCTATTCTTCACCCCTCTGCTTTTTCTAGTACCACCATCCACGTTCTCCTCTTTATATGGTAATTGTGTTTTATCTTGTGTATTCTTTTTAATTTATTGTTGTTGTCATTCTGTAAAACACTTTGAGAAGCCACCTTTAAAGGTTATTATTATTATTATTATTATTATTATTATTATTACTATAAGGTTACTTGTTAATCCAAGCTGATTATACAACTGTATAGCTGTGTTGGCTTAGTAGTATAGAAAAATGAAACATTTAAAACGACAATCCATGTGTACAGTTAACATAAGAGATGTCAAGAAAACAAATATTGTTTTGTTTTGTTTGCAGCTATCTGCATGTAATTGAGTGTAAAATGTGGTTGCATAACGGTGTCAAAACAAGAGTTCCAATACTACACTACCCTCACAATGCTAGTCGCCAGTATTGTGTGTATACAGCTGGGGCTACACCTGTTGAAGAGAGAATTTAAATTTAGATCCCAAAGGAAATGTCCCAGGAACCTGCTTATGTGCACCTCGGGCACGCCGTGTTGCAGTTCACACTGAGAATTTTTATTCTTGATGTATGGCTTGCCAGTAGTGGGGGCAGGAAGCAAAGGTAATGAGCACATTGAGCAATGCATCCCTTTGTGCCCGTTCCTGTAATTGAAGAATCCCCTACTGGTTCTTCAGGTGCTGTCTTGTACAGGTTTGGAAAGGTTTTTAGTCATAGCTCTGCTAGCCTCACACAGCCTTTTGCGAAGCCACCAATACACACCTCTTCCTCAAAGTTCCTCAAGCAATGAAATGACAGAATCGAACGTCGTGAAAAACCCTTTTGGAAAATACATTTCTTTTCCCATAATGGAGCTGTTGTGCAATAAGGGTGCGAATAAACACAGGTAGCTTTTCCACTAGATAATTCTGACAGAGCGGTTTATTTTTGTAGCTATTTGTTTTTCCTTTCAGTACGTCTTAAGGGGAAGTAGAGCAATCAGAAATACATACACCAAATTAATTTAGGTGATTTATTGGTAAGTAGTTCTAAAATATCATTTTGAACAGTCTAGACTGATATTGATATTAATTCTGGATGCCTTACTGCATTCAAATCTCAATGTCAGTATGGCCATAACAACATAATACAGCGAAGTCATAACCAATGTTTCATCAGGGCATACAACAACTGACAGGTTTACGATTTATTAAAGATTTTGACTGGATACATTTAGTTGTCTAGAGAATAAAATAATGAATTAAGAAATGATTAAGAAAATGTTTTAAAAAAAGATGATTAAGAAAGAAATTGACAATTTTCATAAAAATGGTTCTGCAGATTTTGGTTCTCCTGTTAGAATTTAGGTTGCGTAGCCACTGGATTAAATTCTTTGGTCTCCTTTCTGAATACCTCTGAACGCAGAGTACGAGATGATTAATAACAGAACTGCAGGTATGTGTGTTTTGTGCTTTTCACTTGGGTATTGCAATTGTCAGTCCTGTTTTAGTCTCTGTGATGAATTGTGAACGCTTGATTCTAATTAGAACTATTTATCAATAATTTATGTAATAAGTGTTTTTAAATTAGATTTGCCATTTTTCAAATATTAATTCTCTTAATCAAACTTCATGGTATTCTTGTTTCTGTCTACAATTCATCACACGGCTCTTCTTTTGTCATTTGGGAAAGAAATGGAAAAAAGTTCAGGGCTGTTATCTTTGATTTGTTATAAGATCTCAATCGGGTATCTTACAGACAGAAAATAGAGATCACAACTGTACTTCATAATATTTAGGAGTTGTGTGTTTCTGTTTGAGTAAAATGTGAATCACCATGGTGTTGGAATGTTATTTCTTATACTCTGATTATTACAACTAACAAGTGTTTTAAACATTGTGATTTTTGTCAGTCATACTATTGTTCCCACATTTCATTGTATTACTTCACACACTGAAAAGCTGAAATTTGCTCAACTCAATTCTGTATAGAAAAGTAATAAAAATTATCTTCTAATAAACTCAATATCTGTTAAAGTTTAATTTATATATGGGAATTTCTTATAAATGACCGATTAATGTTGCATATTAAACATTTTAATACAAGAAATGCAATTTATAGGAGAAACATTCCGAACGTTTCCCTAGAACAAAGTTATTTTCCTGGAATCTCTGACCAGCAGAGGGAGCTCTTAGAACTAGTGAAAAGCCTGCAGCCAGTTGGACACATTCTTAATACCTTAGAAAAAAGGCTTGTTGACTTTAACAGATACATTTTGAGACTTTAAAAAACACCAGATTGCAATAATTGTCATTATTTAGATGGATTGGTGTCATAATAACGGTAAATTCTTGGCTAACACAAAAGAAGTAATCTTGCACCTAAAAGAACCTAAGGAAAATGGAAACAGATATGCTCATTTCAGTGTTGCCTTCAGTAATAAAGACATAAAGAATAAAGGAAACTGGCAGAAATAGAGTATTTCTATTTTAAATTACTTGTAATTACACTGAGAGAAGTTGGTAGTGTGTATTGACCTGATGCACAAGGTTCATGTAAAGCTCAGGGTGATTTATACTATGCTATTTCAACAAGGTTTAGATGACTGGCAGTTTAGGTCACAGATAGAGAATCAGCTGTCCCACAGCATAATCTAACACATAATCTGGCTCTTGGCTGTGCCGTTATATTTCCCTTTCACAGGCATCAAATCTACATGAACCAACGTGAAACAAGCACAAGAGTATCGTTTATGGCTTTTTCAAGAAATGTTCAGAAATGTACAGCCTCTGTAA